GGTTATCTAGATTATATGAACAGGAATTTGAAAAAAGAAGGGCAGCCAATAGAACTTTCAATTGTCAAATGATCTGCTTATGGAGAAATACAAATTGTTTGTTTGTTGTAAGGTAAGTTATTAAGAATAGTCGGATCAATACTTTTACTGATGTATTTGTTCTGGAGGCTGTGTTGTTGTCCTGAGCTCGTCTGCTATTCAAGTACTTTGATAATCTTTTTTTATTATCGCTGTTTCTTTTAGTTTTTTTTTTTTTTTCACTTTTTGTTAAAATAGCATGTTGGTTTTTAGCAGTTTCTATTCGAGTAATCTTTAGATTTTTATTTTTTTTTTAACAGTCTGTATTCATTGGCTCTTCTTATGAGTGCGCTTTGACAAGGAAAAAAAAATTTTTTTTTTTTACTTAAATTATGAGTTGGTGTATATTGTAAGCTTTCAATGAGTGTATATTATTTAGTATTTTTGACAATCAAGTGATACCTTGATGTAATAAGTTTAGGTTTTTTTTTTAGCTCTTATGAAAAGCAAAATTAAGGATGTCAAAGAATAAACTACTCTAAATAAAATTGGGGATCAAATGGGAGGGTTAGTGAAGAGTTCTATTCAATAATCATGTAGGCTTATAAATAATTTTATTGAAAGAAATAAGCTCATCTATTTTGAATGCACTGTAATCTCGGACAACTAAGAAATTAATGCCAGCCAAGTTAATTATTTCATAAATAAGAGTAACATGAATATGCAGGAAAACTTGGAAGGGTTAAGTGCGGAGTGACCATGCTACAAAGGCTATATGAGTACCCTTTTATGGATGATGTTGCTATAAAAATCAGGCTTTGATGGTTTGTTCATATACGTAAAAATGCACCAATAAAGTGGTGGATAGGATCATTCTGAAGGCTTGGGAATAGTGACATTATAAAAGGGTCTTCACAACTTCTGCATATTCTAAGGCGTGGTTTTTTATGTAAACGTTACAAGTATAAAACTCTCATCAATTATTTTCAAGTAATATTTTCATTGTTTGTATTCCTTGCATTCTAGTGCAGTAGTTCCCCCTTCTTTTGTTATAGCAGTAGAGATAATGTTGAAAGCCATCAAAGCGTAGTTTGTCGTTAGCTGTTGAATTGATTTTAAATAGTATTTCGATTGAAAGGGCACGGTTAATACCTAGAAAAGATTGAAATTTACACTTCTAAGTGAAACAGTTTAGGAAGATTTATATACACACCACTCAATTCCTATGTATTTACATATCTAATACGCAAGCTTCAATTTTGACTAATATGCCACCTTATCAATGTATGAAAGGTGTATTTCACTTTTTGAAAGGCTGAATGGTGGTTTTTTTTTTTTTTGGGGTAATATAAAAAGATTTGGGCTGTAAAAATATAAATAGCTAAGTTTTAGTGACACGGGAGGGTTGGCCATTTGTTAGTCTTGGAATTGCCGCCCAATAGGAGTGTCCTCAGCTCTCCTACATATCCACTAGTATTTATTTGAATGCTTTGTGTCTTAGGGATTAGTTTATGTTGTTTCTAATTTCAGTTCTGAATGGACAGCTACCGGCGTCCTGTTTTCCTTGTCTTAGGTTGTATCTGACGGATAGGGTGGTGCTCATGCTGCATCCCTTTCCCCTAGTGGTGAATATCCTCTCTGACTTCCACCTCCACCCTACCTCCTTTCCGCTAACTACTCTTCCAGCAGCCCCACATCCTCCTCTTCCCCTTTTCCTAACAGCCAGCATCCCTCCATCAACCAACCACTCCTGTTGCCACTTTCTCGGGGATGTGACCTACTGTCCAGCTCTTCCTATCACCTTCAAGCCACCCTCATGTCATTCACTTATCCCTCCCAGATCACTTCCCGCCATCCATGACACTTCTAACCCATCCGCCGTCTCGTTTCCTGCCAACCTTCTAACCGGCAACCATGTGTGCGCCACCTTCCTGTATCTCGCCTTCCTTCCCACAGCCACCCTACACTACAACCGCCCCTTCCACAGGCGCTGCTCCACAATCCAGCGGTCACGCAGCATATCCCTAACATGCTGTCCAACCACAGCACCTCCACCGCCGCCTATGCCCAGTTCAGTGTCGTCTTATTGTTTTCCCTATTTCAAACGCCATGTTTTTAACTCTTTTAATGCTAGCAATACTATTTTCTATTTTTTATTGTGATATGGGTTAACTCCATTATCATTAAGTGTTAGATATTTAAATACATAGAATTTTGGTGGTATGCATGTAAAAGCCCCAACAGCTCAACGGCAGAAAAGAAGAACCTATATTGCTGGCAAGAATCACTATCTTTCCTATATTAAATTACTTTCACAAAGTCTATTAATTCTCTTAAAAAGAACCTTTTTTTCAATAGTAAATCGTTTGTTCTAAATTTTTCAGCTTGAGTTCTTAATTCTTCAAAGCTTTATTTATTTATTTATTTATTATTTATATGCATGCATGTGAGTGTGTGTCGCATACTCGCATGCGTGTACTTTCGTGTATGCGCGCACGTTCGTCATTTGAGATGTTGCAGTAGAATGTCTCTAAATATGAATGCATAAAGTATTATATTAATGAAATCAAATAAAATTCCCACTTATTATGTTTTTTCTAATTAAGCCATTATTAGGAAACATAAAAAAAAAAAATTAGCTGCATTGTATATGTTCATATTTTGTGAACTCTTATTTAAAATCAGGGCATTTACAAATATACCACCCAATTCTTATTAAATGTACATATTTCAACAATGACTTTATTTTTTTTTTACTTTTATACCACCCAAAATTTTCACATCTCATCAAAAGTATCACCATTTTAATTTTGAAAAGGTGAAATGCCGATTTAGATAAATATATAATAATCGTGTGCTATGTATGTAAATAACCCTTAATTTGTGCAAGGGTATCGATGGAAACATGCAGAGGTCATAAAATTTAGAATTATAGCAACTAGTCTATAGAATAATTTGTGTATTTCAATTTAGTTAGGCGTCTTGAATCCTATATTCTAAATGGATTTACGTTTTAAGGGAAGAATTAGGGAATGAGGAAAAACTGTTGTGAGATATGTACTTCCTGGCATAAAAATGAGACGAAAAAGAATACAAGCAAACACAGATCGTTTACGTGGTTCGATCCAACTGGATCTAGGTCCACGGGAGGGAATCAATCAAATATTTCACTAAGGTAAAAGAAATGGAGAATACATAGCTTATACATAGAGATGAGCCTTCATCTTCCTTCTATGGCCTCCCTCTCAAGCGACACCTTAATACAAGACCTCAAGATGCTCTCCTCCTCTCTAACTCTATAGTTATTCTCTCCTCCTTTGTGGTAGCATAAGATATCTTCTCTCTTTGTTCTCCTAAGCCTCACACCCTCTCTATTTATAGAAACAAGAGATTGGTATGTGGGAGGTAGGTGAGCGGTAGATGAGCGGTAGGTCAGATGTGGTAGGTGAGCGGTATCACATTACAAAAGTGCCATTTTACCTTAGTTCATTAATTGAGGGTCAAAATAACAAAAACTAACCTCAAGAGAAGGATTGTAAGGGGCGGGTGTTATATTGCTTCAAATAGCCGTCCATTTTAAATGGGGGAATATTTCCTACATGAATTTTATCTATATATGTATATATACATATATAATGTTATCTATGACAATATCCTCTGATGGCACCACATTACTTTTTATGTTTTCTATGCACTTCGTCGAGGCAGTTTGTTCGGTCTCCTTGAGAGAGTGAGCTTCTTACAGCAGAAGCGATTTGAAATGACAAGTTGGAGGGATATCTATCAAATGATGTGCACTTAAAGATGTATGTTCGGTATTCTTATTCTGCAACTCCTACTCAGTTGCTCCTACTTGGAAAAATTATTCCATACTTGCGTGCGGTATCCGATCCGGACCTTAAATCACATTATCTACAGTCCCGATGTATTTCGGTGGGCTCCATCTAAAATTTAAAAAAAAAAAAACAGAAATAATTCTGACCGTGGATAACGGTGATCTACAGTCAGGATCGAACACCGCATGCAGAGATGCATGCGGTGTCCGTACGCAATAATTCCTCCTACTTGGCAACTCATACTTGGTAGCTCATCGATCATTGTTTGTTCAATAGGCTTGAGAAACCCAACAAAATCTTTTCGTATTACATTAGCCTAATAAGACTGCTCACATTGCATTTCTGACCGCATAATACACCATGAAATAAAAATTTAAGACGAGGATTTTGAATGTTGTCGAGAAATAAATAGTTAATGTGGTGATACAAAATAGATTCAGGTGATGAGTTGTCTTCAACACAGCACTCATATGATTTCTTTCTTAAAATTATATAATATTTTTAATTATCTTAGATCTCAAATAAATATTTTGTAGTCTACAAGCGATCTCGCACAAAAACAATAATTTTTGTATTTGCGTCCATGATAATTTTTTCTTACATACATCATAATTAAATTATAGGGGATCATCCGAAATATTACTGAACTTTTAAAATTTAAATGTTTTTTTTAAAGTAATTAAATGTTAATTGTATAAAAATGTAAGATTTACATACCAAGTCAGTAGCCACTTAATATATATATATATATACTATATATATATATATATAACGGAATGGCATGAGGCTATTATAGGAGTTCCGGCCATCCCCAATGAGCATAACAATTTGAGTATCGCACCGTCCATCAAGGGGAAATGAATCCCGGACCAGAGGGCATTTACAATTGACAAACTGACGCCTGACCAACTGATTTGATTAGATATGTAAATACATAAGATGCATGTAAATTTTCTAAAATAATATTTCACTTTTTAAAAATTAAAATAATCATATTCCTCGTGTAAGTAAGCGAATAATGTTGTATTAATGCATAATTCTAAGGTAAAAGGACGAGGAATTCGCCTCAGAAAATTACAGAATTGTTTTTTTTTTTTTTTCCTCCCCCTTTTATCCGCAAGTAAACTATAAACGGGAAAATAGATAAATCCCTTCATCCCTCTCCCTCTGCTGGTCAACCGGGAAACCCTACCCGATAAAGAAGTGACTATGAAGGAGGAGATATTGAGCGGCGTCTCGGAAAGCCTAGAGGAGAAAGAAGGCATCCAACAGGTTCGATCATCCGGAACGCAATCCTTCTGATTGGGGTTTATTTAATTCGTAAGTTCACGCCGATTCTCTGTTGCTTATTTTCAGATCTGAATCAAGTTAGGGTTTCTATTTGGAAGCTCAATCATGTCTGCTCTGAAAGAACTTCTCCCCCCGGCAAAGTCCACTACATCATCCTACTATGACCACTCCAAGGATTCCTGGTTCAAGGATCGGTTCAGCTCCTCCGCCTCCGATCCCTCACAGCCTGCTACCGCCGTCAAGCCAAACCCTATCCCACCCTACGGAAAACGCTCCGGCTTCGTTCCGAGGAGGCCGGAGGACTTCGGCGATGGCGGCGCTTTTCCCGAAATTCATGTTGCTCAGTATCCTCTCGGCATGGGAAGAAAGGAAGAGAAGCCGGGCTCCAAGATCCTTCCCCTCACCGTCGATTCTCAAGGGAAGGTGGCCTTCGATGCGATCGTTAGGCAGAACGAGAACGCATCAAAAATCGTCTATTCGCAGCACAAAGATCTCGTTCCTAAGGTCTCCGTGGAAGAAGACGAAGAATCGGAGGAATTGCAGAAAGAGATTGAAGAAACCACTCAGCGCACAAAGGCTGCGCTGGAGAAAATCGTGAACGTGAGGCTGAGCGCAGCACAGCCGAAGAATGTTCCGACGCAATCACAAGAATCGAAGTACATCAAATACAAGCCTTCCCAGCAATCTGCTGCGTTTAACTCTGGGGCGAAGGAGAGAATTATAAGGATGGTGGAGATGCCTTCTGATCCTCTCGAGCCTCCCAAGTTCAAGCACAAGAGGGTCCCGAGAGCCTCCGGCTCCCCGCCGGTGCCGGTGATGCACTCTCCACCAAGGCCTGTTACTGTTAAAGATCAGCAGGATTGGAAGATCCCGCCTTGCATTTCGAACTGGAAGAACCCTAAGGGTTACACAATTCCTCTGGATAAGCGTCTTGCTGCTGATGGAAGGGGGCTTCAGGAGGTGCAGATTAATGATAACTTTGCTAAGCTGTCGGAGGCTTTGTATGTGGCTGAGCAGAAGGCGAGAGAAGCTGTTGCTATGAGATCCAAGGTGCAGAGGGAGTTGATGCTGAAGGAGAAAGAGAGGAAGGAGCAGGAGCTTAGAGCTTTGGCACAGAAGGCAAGATCAGAGAGGACTGGCATTGCACCTGCTCCTACTGCTCCTGCCCATAATAAGGCTATGCTTGATGATGTGGAGGATGATGATGATGATTTAGGAATGGAACGACATGAGCCATCCCTTCGCAAGGAGACGAGGGAGGAAAGGGAAGAAAGGCTGCAGCGGGATAAGATTCGTGAGGAGAGGAGGCGCGAGAGGGAGAGGGAGCGGCGGCTTGAGGCGAAGGATGCTGCAATGGGGAAGAAGAGTAAAATAACGAGAGATAGAGACCGGGATATCAGTGAGAAAGTTGCTCTGGGGATGGCTAATACTGGAGCAAGACAGAGTGAAGTTATGTATGATCAGAGACTTTTCAACCAAGATAAAGGAATGGAATCCGGCTTTAATGCTGATGACCAATACAATATTTATGATAAGGGCCTTTTCACTGCACAACCTACATTGTCTACTCTGTATAGGCCAAAGAAAGACACTGATTCTGAAATGTATGGAGGTTCTGATGAGCAGTTGGAGAAGCTTATGAAGACGGATAGGTTCAAGCCTGATAAGGCTTTCTCTGGTGTGCAAGATAGACCTTCTGGTAGCAAGAGAGATAGGCCTGTGGAGTTTGATAAGCAGGAGGAGAATGATCCCTTCGGTTTGGATCAGTTCTTGACGGAGGTGAAGAAAGGGAAGAAGGCGATGGATAAGATTGGTGGAGGGGGTACAATGAAATCAAGTGCAGGGTCGTCGATGAGAGATGACTTTGAGGGAGGGGGTTCGGGAAGGACTCGGATTGCATTTGAGCGGGGACGCTGAGAGATGGCTATGAAAGAAGGTTTATCACTAGCTTATGAAGTATCACAATCTATGTTGAAGATTTAAGTATTCAACTTTTAGGCTTTGTCTGCATTTTATTTTAAGCATGTGTGATGTTTTATGTGTAATCAAAATTGTGAGAGTTTGCATTTTAGTATGGAATATAGAGTTAACAAATAAATTCTCTCATTATCTGGTTGCTGTTTTTTAAAAAAATGGAATTTATATACATGCCATGAAATTCTTATGTATTTATATATCTAACACCTAAGATTTCATATTTACATAGTGCTCAATGTTTTAAGATCACATCAAAATTACTACTATCGCTAACTTTTGCAAGTGAGATTAACTTTTTCATGTATAGGTTTTATGATATAAAAATGTTGTAAATGTAAACATTAAACTTTAATTGTTACATATTGAATTAGGAGAGGTTGGCACTAAATATGCATATTTGATTGTGAATTTGGGAATTATATAAAACGCTGAGAAAATATGTTATATGTTCCACTATACAGTTTTGCTTGGTTTGCAGCAAAGAAAAAAAAATAATTTCAAGTTTCATCAACTAATCCTTAAAAAGTTCTAGTCTTTCATTCTTCTTTCATAGACTATTGGAATCTTAGAAACCTACAGCATAAGAAAATATGGCTTTTAGTTGATAGCGTTACCGGGAGATTTTTAGCCTCTGGATCTTCTGTGCGACAGTGGGTAACCTCTGGCTGATGCGATTTGGATCGCAATAGGTTGCAGAATCAGCTGGAAGCCCTTGCTGCACGATTGAAGACAATTGTGAGAAATAGCAAGCATATAATTGCTTCACAATTAATAAATTTGGAAAATTAGAACATTAACTAAGTCAATATAGTTAAAAATTGAATGAAGTTTGTCATAGTTATGAAGGAAAGGCAAGAAAAGATTTATAACAATTTATAAAAATACATATAGAATTTTCAAAAGATATATCTTTTAAAAGCTTGGCATTATGATTTGTTTCATCTTAAAAAAAGGAATAATCTGAACATTTGGCAGACAACCAGTTAAAATGTAGCGTGCAGATAATCAATGTGGATTTGATATTGGGGTCATTCATATAACATACCAACTAATTCATATGTTTTTACATATCAAACACCTAAACTTAGCTTTTGACATTTATACCACGTAAATTTTTCATATCACATCAAAAAATATCCTCATTGTAACATTTAAAAAGTGAAAGACATCTTTTCATGCATAGGTAAGGTGATATGTAAAAATTGAAGTTTAGGTGTTTGATCCATAAAGACATAGGAACTGAGTGTTTTCTATGTAAATCTTCCTTGATATTATGCATATGGATTAACTTATCAAAGTGTTAATCGATAAACATATCCATATGGATTCACTAAACCACAATTGAAGCGTATGGAACTGATCAAGGTATGATACAGAGACTTACAGCAACTAAACTTTGGATTGTTGCTTCCTTCCAGCAGCTCTCTCGAAGAAGAACAGGTAGGGCATCTTTATCACCAGAAAAAGAACAATAAACTCTAGTGTCCCTTAATCTCATTAATACTCTATCAACTCTAAGCTGCAGAGTCAAGCTTACTTTGTTAATTAAAAATGTCTAATTCTTAAATAGTCTTTGTAAAAGAAATAGGAAAAACTATGTAATTTTGTTACATAATAAATTGCAAGTTGAACCGACCCAGTAACGAAGAAGAAGAAACCAACCGCTCGGCATCACCCTCTGCAACATTTAGAAAGCATACGGAAGCCATTAGTAAGCTCTATACAATGTCATTAATAAATAATCCAATAAATAAGTGGACAAAACAAGATAAAAAAGGGGCATGTACATACATACCACCCAATTCCTATGCAGTTACATATCTAACACATAAATTTTACATTAATAACACCCAAATCTTTTATATCACATTAAAAATATCACTTTTTTGAAGTTTTAAAAAGTGAAATACATCTTTTCATGCACAAGGTGCTACATATGTAAAAATTGTAGTTAAGCTGTTAGATATGTAAATACATAAGAATTGAGTGGTATGTATGTCAATCTTCCAAATAAAAAAAAACTTACAACTTTTACAGTCAGCAGGGATATTCCATTGTCAGCCAATTCATCTTCATATAAGATAACCTACATGGCCAGGTACATAAGTGTCGCATTAATGCCGCATATAAAATTAATCAACAAAGAAATAGAAATTCCAGTAAAAAACGTTCATAACCTCATCATAAAAAAGGATTGGTTCATTTGATACAAGTGCAGCCAGATTAATGCGTTGATCACAATCCTCCCAGTGTGGACTCTGGCACCCATCCTTAAAATTCAACTGAAAAAAAAAAAAAAAAAAGAATTAAAACTCAAAGAGTTTGTTAATTCTATGGGCTTTTACAAACATACCAGCCAATTTCAATGTCTATTTACATATCTAACAATTAAACTCTAGTTTTTACATTAATATCACCCAAATCTTCATATTACAGCAAAAATACCATCATTTTAACTTTTAAAAAGTGAAATACACATTTTCATGCATAGGTAAGATGATATTTATGTAAGAACTGAAGTAAATGTATTAGATACGTCAATACATGAGAATTCATTTAGTATGTATGCAAATCTTCCAAATTTTAATTATTTTTCAGAATCCTTTCCTAAGATTTAAATTTCACTTATTATGTACTTGCCAATTTACAATGTCATAAATAAAATATATATGCTCATACAAAACATCGAGCATTGTCCAGCATAATCTCATTGCTAACAAAAACTATATAAAATTCTTGATTTTATTTCTTGATTTAATTTTTTTTTAAATAAAGTTATTGATAAACACGAATTACACTGCACACTTGTCCAAAACCCCTTCACCCATCAGTTTAGAAGTCACGATCTCACAACTATACTAGAGGACTTTAAGCATGATGCATGCTCCATCAGAATAATGCAAGTGACGTAAAAAAAATTATAAAGTATTTGACGTAAAAAACTGAGTATATTATGATATTATAAACAATTCCAATAGCATTTTCATTACAAACATTCTATTTTTTTATCAACTCTCAAAGATTAAATTGTTAACAAATTATGTCAAATTAGATTATCAAATTATTCAACAAAATGCTCTTAATCTCAAATGAGTAGACAGAAGAGAAAAAAATAAATGGGTGGAGAACGTAGGTGTTAAAGATAAAAGGTGCGGTGTGAAGACTCAATAAAATGAACACAAATGCACATAAATCGAAATAATATTTATTTTATGGCTTTTTTTAAGTACTTGGATAGATAGACTTAAACATATGTTTAAACTCAATATATATGCAATGGTTATTTCTTTGTTTAAAAATCTTCATGGCTCGTAATTTATTTTATATTCATTAAATTCCTGCTGGACTAGCAATAAAATCATTCAGTCCCCAATTGGACATAGCAGGTGTATGAATAGCTAGTCTTTTTCCTAATTGAGCAGAACAAGCCTTTCAGGAATTTTTTTTTTTTTATTCACTTTGTTAGTCTAGACTATGAAGTCTTCTACACAATTTAGTGCCAGAAACAAAAGAGCAAATGCTTTAATGAACTTATTGATTGAAAAATAAAAAAAGTAATTGATACAAGGTCTTAAGGTTATAGAATTTCTAATATAACTGAGATGATGTAAAGTATATAAATCACATAAAAAAAACAAGGATTCACATATCAGGGAATACTAAATACAAAGAGAAAACATTTCTTTTAATGTAAAAATAATGAGAGACTTACAACAACAAAGCCTGCTACGTGGGGCCGGCTACATGAATCATTTTTCTCTATTGCGTCCTATTTAGTGTCATATTTTCATTTAGTTCTAGTAAATTAAGATCATTTTTAATACAATAAGCCCAAGTCTTCCTAGCACAAGTCGAATCATAAAAGGTAAATGAATTATATATTAAACATGAGACTTAAACATAAAAAAAATACAACTATATATTAAATTTGAATAAATTAATAAAAATTCAAATAATAATAATTCAACAAACAATTGTAAAATTAGCATAGCAATTGAAATCTCGGTTGAAGCAAATTTGACAAAAAAACAAAACTCTTGTAATGCCAATTATAAAAGGTAAATGAGATGAAAATATATAGAAAAGAGATTGATGTGAGAGAATTCCAGGACTAATGCTAATAGAAGTTCATTTACCTCACTATTTGCTTATCGTGCTTGCATCAAACTAGAAAGATTCCATAGCCAACCGAAAGCAAAAGATCCAAAAAACCCATCAAATATTTTATTACTCAAAAGCTGAATTTTATATAAGTTTCATGTATCTTTTTATATATTTTACCTTCCATCTCTGCTCTCTAGGTCAATATTGTGTTGAAGCACGGGGTCAAATGCTGATTCATTTAAATTTAAAAAAACATGGTAAAGAACGGAACTTCTTAATAAATTATGCAGTACATGTAGTATCCTCACCAAATAGCTATCTTAAGTCAGAAGAAACGCAAAAATGGGTCTCATCACGATAAAAGAATAAGCTTTTCTATGAAAATTAAATCGAAGATTTACATACATACCGCTCAATTCTTATGTATGTACATATCTAACACATGAATTCTTATGTATGTACATACCGCTCAATTCTTATGTATGTACATATCTAACACATGAATTTCAAATTTTACATATATGACAACTTACCTATGTATGAAAAGATGTGTTTTACCTTTTAAAAGTTAAAATTGTGATTTGAAAGATTTAGGTGGTATAAATATCAAAAAGTAAAGTTTAGATGTTAGAATGTGTTAGAAGTTATATTATGAAATAATTTATTCCTGTGAGAAGTTATGAGGAATAAATTATTTCCTTGGATTGGATTTATTCTTTTCCTATTTTAGACTTTCTTATTTTTATGTTGTTTCATTTATCTCCAAAACAATTAATATGAATTGATTAATTGGAGATATTAGAGGTTATATCTTTTCTTTCTTATTATTTCTTTTTTATTGTATTTTCTATTTTAGGATTCATGTAAGGGTTATTTATACCCCATTTTCATATCAATAAACATATTCCGCATTATTTTGAATTTCAATTGGTATATGGCCCTAAATTTATACCCTAGCCACCGGTATTCCTTCCAGAACTGTCAGACTCCTTTCCTGCTTTGTGTGGAGAAGGGATGGGCACTTGACTAGATATTTGAAACAAAGACTTTTGCTTATTCTCTCCCTGCAGTCTTGGCCTATCAGCTGGCCCTTCCTTGGTCGGGAGCTTAGACTCTACCAACCTAGAGAAAGCAAGCGACATATTTTCTTCCAGCTATTTTTCCTCTCATAGAGATCTGTTTCATGGAGAATTTGTTGTTGTTTGGTTTCCCAACAATTGTTTTCCCGATAAAAACCTAATGCATATCTGCCGTGAAAATCAATAGTCGAGCTGCAGTCATTTTTCACCCTAACTGTTGTTGGTTCCCCTCTTCCCTACCGGTTTTCTAAAAGTTGCAGTCACTGATCCTTCTGATAGGTAGTTCCAACCGCTGGACCTCCCTCTGCTGCAAAATCGGACCTTCTTGTCATGAGACTGGAGCGCATCTAAAGTGACAACGTCCTCGAGATCCTCGCCGAGGGTATATCGCGTAGGCAACTAACCACATATTACTGCCACCCTCTATCGGCGGTCTCTCCCGACAAGATTTCTGACAGGCCTCTGTATAGCTCTCCCTCTCACGGTGATCCTTATCTAATGAGTTGTGTGTCGATGACTTCTTTGTCGTCCCTCCCAGTCATAGCACTTTCCCATTGTTCTTCCCCGCAGGACCTCTTACTGTTCTTGACCGGAGGACTTTCCCATAGGAAACAAATAGTTTTTTTTCTGTTGTTCTTCCCAGTAGCAGGAAACAACGCAGCCTTTTCTCTGAAATCCAGCGCCACCTCCTGTCGTTTCCTGTTATTCTTCCACAAAAACTCATTGTTGGTTCCTGCATCCTGATCCGTCGTCGGCCCTTTCCCCTGTAGTATTTTTCACTTCCCTGCACAGGCATCGGGGGGAGTTGCATTTCCAGCAACCCTTTCTCATGCAGCTTACTTTGTAAGCAGAATTTCTAGGGTATGAATTACTCTCTCTCTCTCTCTCTCTCGTGGAAATCCCAATCAGAGAGCCGCCACCGATGTTCAGAGAGTTACAAGCTGAGAAGTTCATTGTTGTTTTGCTTGCAAAACGACTTGAAAAAGGCTATTACAGAGGAGGAACTGGATGTATCCTTGCATGGAATCCGAACAACAGACCTACACGCCCTTCGCCGTCAATTTCTTCCCTGTTGTCGAAAATCTTCCTGCATGTCCTTCTCTGTGTTTTCTTTGCCACTAGAACTCTTCCTGCAGACTTCTTCATCGGAACCATCCTGTAGCGGTAGTCGGTCCTCTCGCTGCAAGTTGTAACCCTTTTTTCTCTGTCGTCAGAAATCTTATATGTCAACCATTTGCCCTGCAAAGAACAATATCTTGTTACAAGCCCTCCTCATTGCAAAAGCTTTTCCTGCAGTAGACCCTCCTCTGGAGCTTTTATCTTTTTTTTTCTCTGCAGGCTTTATCCTACAATTTTTTTTTCCTACAGGTTGTCTACTTCACTGCAAACTCCCCTGCAACATTACTTGAAAGAGCATTTCGTCTACCTATAGGCACTGCGAAAACTGTAGCCAAAGGCAACCGCAGTCAACTAAAAATCAGTTTTTCTTGTAGGTTGTCTGCTTCCCTTCAAACTCCTTTATAGCATTACATATAGGAGTCTTCCGTCAACCTACAGATAATACAGGAACTGCGGTCAAAGATAACCACAGTTGTCTGTTTCCCAGCAAACTCCCCTGCATCATTTATTGGAGGAACCTTCTGCCTACCTACAGACACTGCAGGAACTGCAATCAAAGACAACCGAAGTATGAGATGAAGACTTCAAGTTCTACCTCACAGGATCTTCCTCGCCCATTGTTTGATATTTTCTAATCCAAACTGAACATAGTTTCAACCATGTTTCAACTTTAAGGGGGCGTGTTAAAAGTTATATTAGAAAATAATTCATTTTTGTGAGAAGTTATGAGTAACAAATTATATCCTTGGATTGCATTTATTCTTTTCTATTTTTATGTTGTTTTTTTTATCTCCAAAACAATTAATATGAATTGATTAATTGGATATATTATAAATATATCTTTCATTTCTTATTATCTCTTTTTTATTATTTTTTCTATTCTAGGATTTATGTAAGGGTTATTTATACCCCATTTTCATATCAATAAAAATATTTTGTATAATTTTGAATTTCAATAGAATGTAAATAAATAGGAATTGTGTGGTATATATGTAAATGCCCCAACTTAAATTCCAAAAAACACCTGTGACTCACAAAAAGCCTAGAAAATAATGAATGTAAGCAGTGAAATGATAGATAATTCCTAAGGTCAACCCAGACACACAAAAGCCTAGCCTCACTCAGAATTCTATTTTAAGGTTAAACCATAAAACTCAAAACCAAAACTCACTCAATCTACAAGCCTCAACCTTATAACCAATCAATTCAACCAGCTGAAGATCATACCAAATATCAAACCGCCCCAACTCCAAGAAATCAAATCCACAGATAACATAATTCATTCTTATAGGCACATCATCACAGTCATGTTAAAACGAATAAACTGAAACTAAAACCACAATAAAAATAAAATCTAAAAATATAATGTTTGAATTACTTATATATTCGACCATAACATTTCACACCACCTTAACGGATCATGCTTGGCATCCCCTACCAGATCCACTGTTGAAACCTCCTCGATAGTTTGTGATTGGTTTAAAACATAATTCAAAAAGTTGATCTGTGCATTTTAAAATAAGAGAAGATATGTATTCTTTCTTTTTCAAGCCGCCCAAAAAAATTGCTAAATTTTTTGTGGACTTCTATAAAAGTTTTGAAAAAAATATTAAGAGAAAAAAAGAGAAATTGTAAAAATAAATAAATTTTAAATTTACGGGGATTTTGAAAATTGCGAAACATAAGATCACTAATCATTTGTCCGAGCTTTACAAGCTTTCTAACCACATCTAAAGAGGTCAAGCAGATTTAACAATGAGGTACTCCAAGATCTGTCCCAAGCTCCTCATCCAAATAAGCTTGGCACTTGATTTCAAACTTATACTTTATTTCTTCACATTTGGAAGCTTTTTAAATGCTTGGGAGTTCATCAATCCCAATGCAATCAAATTTTTATATTTTGAATTTTGGCCACAAAAAAATGTGTTCTAGCTCAAATACTACTGGGAGGACTCTTCACCTAATGACTATAGTTACAAAATTCAACACCATCGTACAATGAGAAAAATGACTTAGTTTATACCCCCAATGGAGATGTCCAAATAAATGTACGAGTTGTAGCACCTCAAATTTTTTCTCTGATTATGATTAGGCAAAACTAGTATACCCAAAATAGAGATATTTTTGGAAAAGTAAAACAAGATGTGACAAAATAATAAGCAACTATTAGGATAAAAATAGAAAGTTATAAAAAGCACAAATTTAAATGTCATACATGAATCTCAAGAAAACTCAGAAGCATTGAATAATGATCAAATTTTACTCAAAATAATAAATTTTGTTATCAAACAATCATACAATGATGCAAAGGCCCCGTAACAAGATTCAAACTTGTTGCATAATATTCATCGGCGACAGGATTGTGTGTTTTGGAGCTCAATGTGGCATGAATTGACTAAAATGGTCGATAATCAGTGTTTGAGCAATGGCAAATTGGTCAAATTGCCACAATAAAATAGAAAAAAACAGCCCCTAAAACCTGTCTCATCCTGAATGACATGCTAATGGCAACATGTCATTTGCCCGCTCAGTATCGTGCAAATAAATCATAATAATTTAGATTTTTTGAAGCCATTGAGACCTCTGCATCTCTACTTCATGATTTATTTATAGAAAGGAACTTTCGAAGAGGAAAATATGTCTCAAATCTTATTGATGTTAATTTGACCATCAAAATGTTGATCTGTCACAACTAATATACTCGAGAATCAAGAACTAGAACACTAAATATTTAGGCCACCAATTAAAAACATTACCACTGACAATTATATATTTGGTTGCTCAATCAACAATAATGTCCATGGGTCCATCGGGTCACTCGAGTTAGTCCAGAAGCAGTATGTTTTGTCCATCTTTCAATTATGAAAGTGAGTTAACTACATTGTTCGATGTTAAAATTATAATGAATATTCCAAATAATCACCAAAATGCCCAGCATAAAAATTGTAAATAGCCTCTTGTTCAAATTATTAGGGAATGTTTCAGTCTCTAATAGCCACTTGGATCCTCTTATAAGTCTTACATACTGTCATGAGCGCTCTAAAACTTATATCATAAACTTTAATTATGTTGCAATCATCATTGCATCAAAATGTGTGCCACAATCATTATAACAAAACTTACATTACAGCCATTATTACATAAAAACCAGAAGTGCAATCTTCACTTAACAGCAAGACTTGCATCATAACCTTCACATGTACCGCAATGATTATTGTAAAAATACTTGCACCACAACCACCAATTGCATCATAATAATCATCAAAATAAGACCAGCATTGCTACTTTTGCTTACACAGCGAAAAGTTTTTCGCATGCATCTTGCTTAAAATCTCCATAATCATCTCCCTTAAAACATGCTGCAACACTCGTTCAAGACTTGTATTCCATTCATCTCTAGTAAGACACATGTCACATTCATCTCCTAAAATTGTGTTATAACCATCTCCCTTAAAATCAATATTGCAACCATCTCACACAAGACCCTACACCAAAATCATCTTTAGGGTATGTTTGGGGCAGCTGCATCATATTTATAAGTTGTTACGCAGCAACTGTGCTAGGAAGCTGTTGCGCAGAAGCTGTTGCGCAGAAGCTGCTACGAGGAAACTGTGTCCTGTTTATTTAGTGCGGTTGTGTAGCAATTGTGTTGCATTTGTTTATGAAAAAAATACATGTTTGCCCCTATATTGGTGTGTTGTTTATAACAGAAGCAGTACAATTTGAATGACTCATATGTGAAAGCAAAAAATAAGAGAACGTCGCAAATCACAAAAAGCAAGCCACAAATCGCAAATTAACTTCAAACCGTAAAGATAATGGTAGATGGTGTTGTGGGAGGAAGTAGAGCAAAGTGACCAAACAGAGTCGGAGATCGGAGGGAAGAGGGAGAGGAGGATAAAGGCAAACCCTTGCCACTGGAGCCACAAATCGGAGAAAAGCGAGAGAGGCGCCAGAGAGGCGCGACAGAGAAGTGTTACCTTAGGGCAGAAGAAATGCGAGAGAGGAGAGAGCGGAACACAGGAGAGGGAAGAACGGAGAGAGGGGTAGCAAAGTAATAAAATCGCAAAGAAACACGGACCGCGGCCCAGCTTATCCCAAACAGCCGCCGAGCCACGGTTTCCAAATGACATGCCCGACATTTTCAAAACGCACCGCACCAAAAAAAACTGCCCTAAACGAGCACTTAGTAAAACTTGCAATGCGGTCATCACCTTCGAGATTTGCACCAAAATTGTCTCCCTCTAAACCAATCACATTGCCAACTCCCACAAGGCCTACATTGGCACCATCTCATGCTAGATTAGTGTAGCGGCTACCTCCAAATACATTAATCGATAAACTAAGGACAACAACTAAGATTTTCATTGTATTAACACATTCTCTAGTTAAGGGGAAAAATGTTGTACACTGTAACTTTTTCATGCTAGTGAATGTTGTTCAATTAGGAATGGCCTAACTTTTTCTTCCTTTGATTTTAGCATACAAAATCTTGTCATACTCATTACTTGTTTGTCTATATCTGTGAGATAAAAAAAAACTAAGGCAATCAAAATTTGATTCTCACTCTAATGACTTAATTTCCCACAACTCCCTCATTTGAATTTTTTATTTATTTTCTAAGTAGATTTCAAACTTTAGAATATTTTATCGAAATAAATTATGATCTTGATTTAAAAATATAATAACCAATAATTGCATAATCTTTATAAAAATTCAATCAAAGAAGATTTGATCTATTATTTGTTCCTTCTTTCCATGGTGTCATTTCCAAACTTCACAAGACAATAAAATGCATTAGTTTATTCATTTCTCATATTTAATTAATTTATAATTTGAAATGATAATTATTTCTCCTTTGGCTACCATTATTCTTCATTTAGTGTATGATATCAGTAGAGATTCCTCTCAATGAAGAAAATTAAGTAAAAATTTTGGTGGACCAAAGTAGCTATGCACTGTCTTTCTATTTTCAACTAGCACACTAACATCCAATCTAATAATTTTTTTTTTCATATAAATCTTTAAGTTTCTATGGCATTCTTTAATTACTTTTGTTATATTGTGCATATCATTTGATTGCATCACTTTATTTTCTGCTTATCATGCATTTGTAAAAATCAACTTGTCACCAAATTTCATAAGAAAAAAAAAATAAATTGTAGGTCATTTTCACACCTTTCCAATAGTCACAAGTTCCACTTCAAGTATTATTAGAGCCTCTAATGACTTTTGAGGGAGAAAGCTAATAAGGTGAAATAGACTTGCAGACATGTTATTTATCTTACAAGTAATCAAGATATTAAGAAAAGAGAGCAGTTAATGAAAAAGCATTAAACAAGAAAACAATGCATTCTGTAGAAGCCAGAAAATTCGACAAAGTGAAGAAAAAGAATTATAGCTTATAAAGATTAATCAATTACTCGGCCAAAAAATATGTATTTTTAAAGAAAGATCCCAATGGTGACTGGTAATAACGTTGCAATGTGCATCCTCTGTAATCAAAGTGAAAACTGTAAGAAGAAAATGCAGAAACTGACCTGCTCACAATTCAGTTCTATTGCTTCGCTGCCACAATATGGTGTTGTGAATGTATAGTCATAATCAAGAATAATTTGTTGGACAGGCTTGCTGCAAGGAAAAGTACAGAATTCCAGTTATTTCATCTAACAAGGTCATCAAAAAATACTCCTAAATGTTTGAAAGACCAGTAAGCTTGAAGTATTGGTAAGGCTTACTTTTTTGGTAATCTAAAGTCTAATGTTCTAGAAATTAAAACAGCTTCTCTACAAATATAAGGTATGGCTATTAACATCAATGCCTTCCTATACTGTTTTAGAAGCTCCATAAATTGAGTATGTCTTTCTTTGTATTTAACAGACTCATCACAATAAGGAAATTTTTTTTAAAAAAAAAAGGAAAAAAAAGCATAGTATAACAAAAAAAGAGTAGTTATATTAGTAAACTGAGCTTACAAATTTATCTTTCGCCTTTTACAACTATTGTGGTCCTATAGAAAAAACATAAATTCCATTTTAATTGAACTTGACTTCAATATAAAGTTTATAAGGGTGAGTTACTTACTACAAGACAACAATCCTTTCCTACAATGAGACGGTTTTTCACACACGCATGCGCGCGAGCGTGCACACCTATGCTAGTCTACACATGCGCACATGGACACGCATATATACATACAACAACAACAACAAGCCTTTATGGATATGTGTAATACAAAAAGAACACCAATAACTCAAGTCTCAAATTTATATAGGGATCCTAAAAATATATATTAGAAGGAACTTAATTTTCTTAGTTTGTGTTTCATTTCTATCTCTATCTATAACTTGTATAAAATCTCATGTTTCTTGTAATTAGAATCAAGGTCAATAAAATTCTTTAAATTTTCTCATGTGTTATCAGAGCATTAGCCTTCCGCATGATGCATTTTTTACCTTCATTGTCACCATCGTGCATTTCTGTCATTATTGCTTGGGGCGAGCCCTATAAGTCTCATGCTTACCATCACCATTGTCAACCTCCAAGTAGTCACCATGGCTCTGTTATCTCCAAGGTCTTGCTTACCATCACAACGTCGATCTTTGTCCAAAATCTTGTAAAAGTACATGACTTGATTATGAGATTTCTTCAGTAAATTATTGAATTTGACTCCACCAAGATTGATTATTTGATTTCCTAGCTACATTTATGACCACTTCCCATCAGCCGCAGACCAATTATTATGATCCTTCAAGCAGCCACGCTCCAATATTTTCCTCTACTCAAGTTGTGATTTTTCAATCACAGTAGCCACAGTCCTGCAGTCTCAACCAACAAACCCAATATTCCGTAGCTTCAATCCTCCCAAAACAATCGCATATGTCCTAATGTTGAGCCCTCGTGTCTAAGATGATAATGGCTACTCCAACTAATCATTCCAAAGAGGTAACATCTGATGAAATGAGGCCTCATCAACCATCTAGAGATCTACATGGCATCCAATCCGCATATAAATTAGTTAAAGTTCGTTAAAGCTTTTCCCATAAGGAAAAGGAATTTGAATCAACTGTTGGTACCAACCCAAAGCAAAGAGCCCTAAGAGTTAATGCCTTGAGGAAGATTCTATGATAATTTCATAGCTTATTTCTATTCACTGTTAAAGACATATAAGACACCATGAGATAGACATACTAAAAAGTAAAATTTCTTCCTACCAAATAAGGTAATAAATCAATGGCAGAATATGTCAACCTCTTGAAAAATGTGGCAAAAACTGGAACACTATTGGGACATCAACCTAGCATACTGAGGATGCATTTATTGTGAAAAACTTCGTTAGAATAATAAAGTTTATCACTTCTCATAGACCTTAATACAAAATTTGGTCTAGCAAAAATTCAAACCTTGGGAAAAATGAGGTGTCATCATTAAGACAATCCATATCATTAAAGTAGAGGAAAGCGGGAGAGTAGTTATGTTTGAGCCTTAGGCTAAGAAAACATATCTTTTATGATGGATGGTGGGAGGAACTGTTAAACAAACATAGAGCAATAACGGAAGATCGAGAAAGATTTAAACCCCTAAATCGAGAAAACAAAGACAATATTTGGTATAGGTCCAATAAAAAAAGCTAAAAGCAGCCATATTAGTTTCCTTTATGCACTTATCTATAAGCCACATATCATTTAACATATTCCTCGTCCAATTTAGAATATATGCTCGTTGTCCAAATAATCGAGAAATTATTATTGTTGATAACTCTCTCACCAAATTAGTAGCTTAGGATACTCCAAATCAACTCATTATTTATTATAAAGCATGTTCTTATTTTCAAGTTTTCTACCAACCCAGTACCCTTTCAAAAACTTACCCATAACATGAGTTGCAAAGTAACAATTTTTCCCGCTTGTTTATTTTATGATTACAAGATGTGAAAAATGATTGAACTTCCTAAGGAAATAATATACTTTACTTTCTAAAACATTCAATAATTCAAAGAGTGTCGAGAATAACCTTGCTTTATTTCTCATTTCCCCTTCAAATAAGGACATCATCGAGTTTTATCATTGTTATCTTGATCACCTCTATTTAAAATTTTAAACATTATGGTTCGTTTTTCTTAGAAGAAGTTAATGTTAAAATTTTCCATCATGATGTTTATGAATTTGTAAAATAAAGGAATTTGCCTTTTCCAGCTAGAAGTAAAATAAGTTATATTCATTTTTATTTGATTCATGACAACCCATGAGTTCCCTCTATTATTCCTAACATAGCAAGCACAATGTGATTTATTTTATGGGATATTACATACATAGCACCCAAAACATGGCTAATTACAAAATCTAGGCTCTATGTGATATTTTTGAACTACCAAACTATTGTATTAACTCGTGCCATGATCAAACCATTGAGAATTTGATAAAAATAAAAATATGGATTAGGGTTTTATCATGAATTTTGATCGTTGAGTGAGAATTTGAAAAATGCATGAAAGTGGATGCCATATTTGTAAATAGCAATGTTCCGGGTGCTATGTATATAATTGCTCCTTTTTTTTCATAAACGGTCACACTACAATTGCCTTGATTTTCTTACTTAGATTTAAATCTAATTTGTGTATTGTTTTGCCTATCTTTTATGATTTTAACCCAGCTCAATTTGGGGCATTCGATAATGCCAAAAATTACTTCAACAAAGTTGTGTCCCAATATTTTCAAAAGAAGGAAATAATTCATGAGTCTGCATTATTTATCCTCACGATTTGCTTAAAGGAAAAATGTGTACTTCAATATTTACCACCATCCCTGTGCATAAAGGAAAAATGTGTACTCCAAATTTTTGGACTTCAATATTTACATACATGCCACCATCCCTGTGCATGAAAAGGTGTACTTCACATTTTAAAAGTAAGAAATGATATTACTTTTTATGTGATATGAAAGATTTTGGTGGTATTAATGTAATAATTAAGTTTAGGTGTTAGTACATAAGAATTGAGCGGTATGTATGTAAATGCTAAAATTATCCCATGCCTTCTCAAGAAATCAAATTGATTCCTTCCACTCCTTGTAACTTAAGAATCTCAAGGAATGGAGCTTGGATAAATAAATGGGTGTATTCAAAAAGTAGAGCTCCAAATTCAAATCCTCTGCAAAATTGCGATTCTTTAAAACATGAAAACGTGGTCATTGCAATTTATGAGCCTATCGCTCAAAAGAAACCTGAAGACGAAAACAATGACCTTGACTTACTAGTGCCCTTCAAAAAAATTCAAAGGTGTGCATCAAGCATCATTTATTTTCTGTCCCATTTAATGTCATTTGAAAAGTTCTCACCACCTCATAAAGTTTCCGTGTGAGTCTAAACATTATTTTAATCCCTAAACATTGTCAAAGACTATGGAATGGAAAAAGTCATGAAAATAGAGATGAAAGCCATATAAAAAACAAAATAGAGTTAAAGCATAAATATGACATATAGGGTGTAACAAAGTATTTATAGTGAAAATTTATATTATATACTCTCGGATAAATGATAACTAAAAAATAATTATAGTATTATTGATATGAACATATATCTCGAATAAAATAATTATAGTATTGTTTGATAACAAAGTATTTTTCAATAAGGTTACTATTTGTGTGCGGGTGTGTGCGTTAAAGCTTGGCACAAGGATTTGTGAGCTACTGTGGTTCAAATTTGACCTTACGAATTGGTGGGAAGAGTCAATGAGACTCTATTGTGATAATAAATCAACAACAAATATTACGCACAACCTATGCAATATAATAAAATGAAGTATATTGAGATGGATATTTTCTTAAAGACGAACTACAAAATAGTTTGATTTGTGTATTATATGTGCCTACAAGGAATTGTTAGATGCCTTTATAAAGGAACTCAGCACTACACAATATTAGAAAATTATTGTGAAGCCATAAATGGATGATATATGTTCATATGTTTGTAGGAGAGAGTCAAAAAGCACGCTTGCTGTCCAATATTAAATTAAACTTATATCATACTACAACTCAAATTAATTCCTGAATCGTGAAACCTATTGATTATAAATTATTTCAGTTTTTTCAATTATATGCATCATCTCTTGCTTATGTTTAATTTCCTTATGTATGTATAGCTTGTATAAAACCATAAGTTGCTTGCAAGTAGAATCAAGACAGATCAATACAGATCTCAAAGCTTACCATTATATATATGCATGCACATATATATAGGGGAGGGGCGAGGGGGGATGGGGATTGTTTTGATGGGGGATAAGCAACTTGTTCTCATAAACCTTTTATTATCCTTCAAAGATTTTGAATGGCTAAAATTAAAAGTAGTTAAAAGTCATTGACAATGACAATGAAAAAAGTAGCTGAAAGTTGCCTTTTAGCAACTTTAAATCTGAGTCATTTAGAGGATGTTTGGTTGCAAATATTTAACATTTAGCAATACCCTAAATGTGGCGTAAAGTAAACTCAATGCATTTGAAATATTTTTTAAAGTTTAATTTTAAAATAAATTCAGGATATCAATTGTTTTGGTTTAGAATGTTGAAAACAAATCATAAATCATTTGAAACGACGAATGGTTGGGGTCGATAAAACTGTGGTTAGAAGCTTACCAGCAATAATGGACAGAGTTTAGGTCAGCAACATCAACGTCTGTTGCTTTGTTGCTCCCACAGGGCGTGGGCATGGGTCACACAATGATGTCACGGCTGATAGCGCAGTGATGTCAAGATTGCCAAAGGGATCACAGGTGCTCGTGCAACAAAGCAAGGCCTAAATAGAGTCGCCAACAACTGGGATGCAACAAGGCCAAGATCGGTGTGCAGTCATGCTTGCAGAGACAGCAGATTTGCAGGAGCAGAGTGCAAAGGACTTTCAATGTGCAATGAAGTCATGACATGATGTATTCAAAATTTGTTTGATTTGGTAAACTCAAGATACACCAAAACTAACCGATTTAGAAGTTTCAAGTTACTCAAAAAAAAATAAATAAATAAATCTTTTTTTTTTTTTTTGGTTTTTGCTTTACTACCAACCAAACACTTTAAAACCTAAAATCTTTGAACGCTCAAAGTGCTCCAACCAAACAACCACTTAAATTTTCTTATTGATGATGAAAGATGTATGAGAATAAGTGACCCTACCTTTCTAAATAAATAGTCTTTTTGTCCCTCTAAAGTTATAGATATTATGTGTGTAATTATATTTGAAGACCACAATAAACTGCAAATTACACTATAAGAAAAGAAAAAAGATGAAAGACTGGGGAAGATACTTTAAACCACTATAGAACATATAGAAAAGAAGATTGAACCCTGAGTAGAATTCAATTTAAGACTTGGAAGCTCGAAATTAATTCACAAATCATCTATGGGAAAGGCATGCTAACATTTCATTTAGCTCTGACATATTCAGCACTAATTTTAATTTTGTTGAGAAAATGTGAATATAACAAACTCATGGTGAAAGTCAAAATTTCAAAAGAAGACGTTCCAAAGGAGGAACATATAGTGCTGTTTCTTTCTGTTTTGTCAATATTTCTATTACATATTTCTAACATATAATTTTGAGAAGAGGTGTAATTCAACAGTTCACGCTAAGTGTGACAAAGCAAAACATTAATGAGAAGGGAATTAGTGCATTTATATATTAATTGGAAAAGATTCACTTTATGAAAATTATACATAATTAGACAGCTATACATATTATTGGAAAATAAAGTGATACAAAAATGAAATGGATTTAAATTTCTTGGATATATTTGCATAAGAATTGGAAAAAAAACAAGGATAAAACTTTTATAGTTATGACTTGATGGTTGAAATAGAGAAATACGTTGAGGATATTATAATGAAAGGTGGTATAAGGAACCTTAAAGGTAAACATACAAAACTACAATTGAGTCAACTATATTGTATGGATTCAAACGTTGAGAAGTAAAAAAAATTACTAAAAATCAAGTTGAGTGTGGTAGAAATTAAACATTAAAAAGGATGAGTGGAAAAACTAAGATGGAAGAACTGAAGAATTAGAGCAACAATTATATTAGAATGTGATGAAGTTAAGTTAATGAAAAATAAATTTAGGTGAAATATTAACCTATAATGAAGATAGAAAATACAACCACGAAAAAAATAGATGAAGCTAGTGCCAAAAGAGAAGAAGAAACAAACCAAAAATAACATGGATGTAAGTTGTGTGAAAATTTGAATATAATCGATTTACACCTCAAACATCACTAAATTGGAATGAATGAAGAAAAGGAATGGGCTCATAATGACCACAAATGGATTGGATTGATGCTGATGATGATGAAAGCTGAAAAAATTGGTTTCAGATACCTGTGTGTAAACATAATCTTAAAGAAAATTAGAATGTCACTATTTTATAAGGCACAGCATGACCAAACTCCTGTACCCAAGATGCAGGATTACCAATAACCTCCAAAATTGGAAACTTTGGAAAACATTCTGGAAAGAAAACAAACAATTCTGAAATTGAAATTTGGATTGTTTTGCATCGATGTTTCTAATTAGTTGGGAAAAAGTGAAATATAAAGAATCATAGACAAAAACTACAACTATTTCTAAAAGCACGAGCACTTGAGCATGAAATATGATTTAGTTATATGTTTTAGTCCACAAAATACTAAGCCAAATAAAGAATACCTTCTAAATTTCCATTTTGCAGCTGCAGGAACTTCTACTGGTGGTAATGACTCCTGCTTCCACCCTTTCAGTGCATCAAATGCATTGAAATGTAACCTACAACCACTTTCCAAATGTAAGAGATTTAATGAACTCTCTCCAAAAACCATTTCAGGTAGGTGCGAGGTTCCAAGCTTTTCTTCCCACCTGGGGTACAAACAAAGGACTGAATAAGAACACATCCAATATGCTATATTTAGCTGCATACTGCGATTTTCTAAGATGAATCTCAGTATATTCAACTTAACAAAACTTAGAACATTGACAACAAACCAATAGATGATAAAAAATAGCCTTATAAGAATGCATCGTGCCTTATCCAATTTTCTAAACAAATCCGGAACTTCAATTGAAATACCATCCTTATTTCCCATAAGTTACTCCTGTCAAAATATGTGAAATATAAACAATATAAGTGGGAACCCAATAAGATGATGTGATGTAACTTCCATATCTTCTGCACATTTTCTGCTATTCCAAGCATTTATCTTTACTCGCCAAGGCCTTAAAGCTTTATTATATTGGTAGTCGATTATGAGTAGTGTGTTTTTAGATTTGCCTTTTGAATTTTGATGATGCAACTTTGTTAACTAATCAACGCATCTTAACAACAGCATGTTATTGGACAGCCATTCTTCCAATCCTTTGGAGAGGTATCAAAACTATTGCAGAGTATAGTTATTTGTGCCTCTAGAGAACTGATGCAAGCCATCAAAAGCACCTAAAAAATATTTTTATAAATTATCGTTTTGTTCCCGTTGTCTAATTCAACAAAACAAATGATCAAGCTGATGAAGGCTTTATCTAATTTGTGTATATCTCACTTAGGAGTTCAACATTTTAAATTATTTTCAAATGCCATTAGACCATCCAAAAAAGAATGCAGGAAGAGTATGAGAGAGGGGGGAAAGAACGCAAAAAGAAATTATGGTTATTTCTTCTTCTCCTTCGTACTAAAGCAATATAATTTTAAGCCCTAGCTTTCTTCAAGTACATAACATGTGTGATTATGTGGGACATGGTAAATTAACTACGATTTTGGGAGATGATTACTAGAGTTGAATCAAACAAGAAATATGGTATTGTAATCTAATGTCCAATGTATTAGCATGATGGGAATGGGACATCAAAATTTGAAATAACTATCCATGTGATTCAAACAACTGTGGTTTTACATGGGAATGGGACATCAAAATTCGAAATAACTATCCATGTGATTCAAACAACTGTGGTTTTACATTGAGTATATTAAATGTAAGGATAGGAGACTAAAAAAAATTGGATGTTTTCAAGAGAATCCTCATACAACTTTACATAAATGAATATTGGATTAATAGGAGAATATGGGTTAATTTAGAGTATAAGGGTTGTGTTTGGATTATTGAACAAAAAAACAAGCATATTAGTTCAATGGTTAAGTATATAATCTAGTTAAATGGCAAGCAAGAACTGAAATATGAATGGAAAAAAAAACAATATGAAATCTAATTGATTCAAGGTCATTTCAGATAATAAGTGAGTGGGTCTAATAATCAAATCTCTGAATTTTCATCTCCTCCTTTCTCCTCCTCCAACTTTTGCTCGAAACAAGCCAAGACTAATCTTAGATTTACAAACCATGAAGGAAGCATATTGAAATTAAAAGTAGTAATAAATGGGATAGGGATTAAAAGGTTCCTTCACATAAATCACTATTAATTTCTCCACATTCTAATTCGAGATGGTGATATTAGATTTTGTTAATCATATGAGTATAAGATTAAAGTGACTATATTTTACTTTCTTATTTTCTTCTTTAAGATGGTGATACCTAGTGATGAGTGTTATTCAGCAGTTATTTGGTTCAATGGCATCCTCTTGCAATATTATGTGTGTTAATTGATATGATTGATGACTGTGATAAGCAAATATCATCCCAGTCTACAAGAAAAGGTATTTTAAATAAAAACTGAGCTTAAGCTGCGTTGCCAAGCAGCCTTAGGTCTAACAAAAAAAAAGATGAACACGACCAAACCAATGTATGTTGAATATGTAATCTCCGGTGTAAAAATCAATTTGCGAAAATCGACAGCATAAAACTAAAGCAAAAAAAAATTCCCAAAAGAAAAGGCATTACAACAGCTTCCAGGCTGTTTCCGTGAATGATTTGCTCTATGGTTTAATGCTAACAATTTGTGTAAAAGAAATGAACGAGGAGCTCAATAGCTCGAATCAAAGATGGCTGATTTGGATTCAATCCTCCAACTACTTATATTTCATCCCATTTCCCTCAGTCCCCTTAAGGCAAAATAAACAGCAATGTTTCAAGTGATTTGTATGTAATTATCCCTGCAAATTAACTTGATAAAAATGATGTAAACGATGGGGTTAGCAATCGTACTCTCGGCGAGCGAGAGAACCGAGGATTGAGCGCTTGCACGACTCGATCTGCCAACCATTAATCCGAATGCCACATCGGTCGTCGGGGAGAGCTTCCGCCCCCGCCTCCATGAGATCCTTCTCCGCGCCGACGCCGTTGTCCATGAAAAGTTATCCGGCCTGAAGAGCAAGCTCAACAGTGAAAGTCTTAGGCCACCGATTCCCCGGCCAACCGCTCAAGGATTGCAAAACTTGTAGTAATATCGTAAAATTAAATAAATAAATGAAATATTATTAATTTTTTTGGGCTATATCATATTATTTAGAGATAATGTTATTATTGAGATTAATTCAATTTTATTGACGCATAGTATTTTTTTTCAGTGACAATACATTGTTACAACGACGAAAACCTAACCGTTCATCTGACTAAATTCATCATTACATTTATTGATATCACCTTATAGTCATTGGTCCATTGTTAAAAACATATATCATCATCATGCATGCATAATCACATTTGATTTGCTTAATATACAAAAGGTATGTTTGGGGCAGCTATAGTTTATTGAATAATCTGCTAATGAGCTGATTAAAAATAATTTGTTGATAAGCTAGATGCGGTGGATATTATAATTTTTTTTTATTTTGGAAAAGTCAAACCGCTGTCAGAAAGATGTCACCGCACCTAGATAAGCGGTCAAAACGCAATTTACCTAAACAGTCCAGGTGAGTTTTCAAAACGTCACCACAACATATAAGCTGCCCCAAACGGACCCGAAATCACATGTTGTTATTGTCTCTTGGTTGGAGTGATTTCCCTCCATTATGCACTTCTAAGTACTATCACTAGTGTGCCACAACTACTTTATATCAATTGTTGTTGCAAAAGCTTGCTTGTATGTCGCAATCATTTGCTCACACGCTCGCTAACATGACATGGTATGCCATCGTCTACCCATCCTACTCCATTTATCACACACCCTCAACCAAATCAAATCTATATGCCTCGGAATACATCGATTATGCATGTTTTTTTTTTTTTTATTTTCAACTTCTTCAGTCATCTCTACATATCATTAATTTACAATAAATAGTTTAAACTTATTTATTTTTTTCTTTTTCACAAAGAACCATGGCCCCTTTATCTTATATGGATGATATGAACTCCTCAACATCTAAAATATTTATTGATCGATACAAATTATCTAACATGATTTTGGGCCTTTCACGAACTCATTAGCATGCATGACAATGTATATTGCATTTATGCATTTCTTCTAGCTAAAAACAATAATCTATCCCCTCCATCCTTAATTAATATGCAAATTTTTTATGAATAAAATATGAGTGAAGATTAATAGCTTAGTAGGTTACACCAAATGCATCCTAAATTTCTAACGTATGATAGAGAAAAAGAACATTCATTCCAATTTGTTATCGCACGAGATTGATAAAATAAATTGAAATTAATTATATTTTTGTAACTACATTGTGATGCTAAATACAGTTACATATCAATTTGCTACGTTATGTTTGATATGTCAAGATATATTTTGATACTAAATATCTATAATGAATTGAACTATAAGATTCACATTTGTATATAAATGATGTATCATAGTAAGACGGCAAATAAATATCACATTAAAACACTTCATATCAATTTTTTCATAGGCCATTATACTTTTATAATATCTCATATACATCATTAGACCCTTATATCTCCCAATTACTTTACATGCATTACTAAATAATTATACCACTTAACATAGTTTCATATACAATTATACCTTAATGTGAACAACACACTTCATTTATCAAAGCTCTTGTATCTCTCTATAAATTACATTTTAATCAAACCCTTGTCTCTTAGAAAATGTACGTTTGCTTAGGTTTTTATACCTCTCCATAACTTTAGATGTATGAAAATTTTAAATAATATATCAACCAAAAAAATCATTTATATTAAATTAATATAATTAAAAATAATATATTAATCAAGTGATACTTTTACACTAATTTATTTTGCAATAAATTAATACTAATAAATCAAATTTTTTATGCCCATATGAAATTTTGAAAGCATAATAAAATATTAAAAATTATAAGATTTATGAATATTTACAACACAACTCGAGTGAATCATGAAATAATAGTCATTTTCTATATTTTTGATAAAATAAAGTTTTTTTTAGACATTAAAAATATAAATAATAGTCATTTTCTATATTTTTTTTAATTATAAGCTATATATAAATTGCCTTATATATTACACCATGTAACTCAAAGAATTATGAAAAATTAGTATAAAAATAATAAAATACCATGTGTAGAATTCATTGGCAAAGACTGTTCATAAAACTAAAGTTAGTTGATCTTGAAAAATCTATTTGTACGAACACATATGATAAGTTAATTTTGTTCCAACAATAATTTAAGGGAATAATATCACCTCTATGAGACAACATTCCTTTTAGAACTATCTGAGGCTTGAAATTATGTGAAATTCTACCTTAAGACATGCACTACAGTACTTTGTTAATTTAACATGCACGCGTGAAATAAAATTAAAAATGTCCAACATTTAGTTTTGACAATATTTATGGGTTGTACGGGCGATAACATACATCGATGACATGCATTCATCTTGCGAGCTATGTCACGTAAATATGACATGCATCTCTCTCATAAACAATGATTGAAATGTTGGTTGGTGTTAGGGTGGTTAGTTAATGATAATCAGGGGGTCGTGGGTGATAACAATTCGCAAAAATTAATCAAACGGGTGTTTAAGATGACTTAGGGTCTGTTTGAGGCAATTGTAGTTTATTGAATAATTTGTTGATAAACTTATTAAAAATAATCTGACAATAAGCTATGTGTGATGGCTTTTACAAATTTTTATTTTTTTGGAAAAGTCAGACCGCTGCCAGAAAGCTGTCACCGCACATAGTGAAAATGTTCATTTCAGCATTTTCAAAACGCATAAGCTGTTAGAACGCAGTTTTCCCAAACAAGCCAGATGCGTTTTGGAAATGTCACCGCAACAAATAAGCTGCCCCAAACGGACCCTTTGTCTGGTGATCCGGGGCCAGCGACTGTAGTTAACTAATAATGATCGAACGACCATGACCAGTTAGCCTTTTAACAATAATAGAGCGGTGATGATGAGAATTGTAATAATGAAAATTTGATAAGATGATAGTAGTTGGGTGATAATGATGAAAGAATAATGATTGAAAGAACAAAGTTGGACAAGTTTTAGATTTTATTATAGAATATAATTTTTTTTTATTTTCAAATGTGTTCCAAATAGGCCTGAGAGATTAATGTACTAAAGTTGGGCAATATTTGTATTTTATTATATAATACTTATTTAACTCAATTTTGATGAAAATAGATCTAAGAAATTGATGCTTGATGTTAGTGTGTGTATATATATATATATAAATGTTAAATGTGCATGTAAAACTTGTTATATGGAATTAATTGATGTTCATTTGAAGATGACTTTAAATTAAAAATATACTAATTATAAAATTGATATATTTCTTATAACTGTATTGATCTGCATAAATCCGAACGCACACATTAATTGAAAAATTCAAAAAATAAAGTTGTAAATGCTGACACTTTGAATTATTGTCAAACAAAGGGTTTTTTGGAGACGATTTGGATGACAAAAAAACAAGCCGACTTTCCAGGTGGGAAAAGATCATGCATTTAAAGCATAGTTGGAAGCTTTGAAACCTACTTTGGGCTACCAAATAGTCTGATAATTTTAACGTCAAATCAAGTGTCTCGATGAGTTGAATCAAACGAGCCTAATATCTCTTAATTTCGTCGTCATTGAGGCTCTTAAATGTCCATAAAACAACATTTAATCTAAGGGATCACTCTGATTGTCTGATGGGGTAATCTGTATTCGTGTAATATTTATGGAACTTGTTGTTCACGAAATCTATAAATAGACACCCACTCTCTTCACAGTGGGGGACCTGAACTTGGAAGAGAAAGTCGAATGAGACACCCACTGTGCTATTATAAATATTGTCTCGTTCGAATGAGCAACGGTGGACTACCACCATCAAGCCACTATAATATTTATGGAACATGTCATTCACAAAATCTATAAATAGACACCCATCGTTGCCTAACCACCGTTGTTGTCTCCTTGTTACCACAATCGAGCTGTTGGACCACCACCATCAAGCCACTGACATTGTCGAACCGTCATCGCTTCAACAAGACCACTATTATTTGACAGTTCTCGTGGCCTAACAAACACTACTCGCCCACCTTATCTCGTCGTCATCACTTTCAGTTTGTCGTCTCCACCACCAAATCACTGTCGTCTAAGTTCCAACTATCCCCATCGCCAAACCATCACTACCCGACCAGAACAAACTGTTTTCCATCACCGTCTGACCACTGTTGCCTCCACTAGACCACCGTCATGTAATTATCGTTGTCACGGGACAATAAATGTTCGCCCATTGCCATTGAGCCACCGCCGTCGTCGGAGCATCATCGCCGCACTAAAACACCATATTATAGCATTCATCATTGTCATACCACCATTGTCCTGACTCTACTATGGTCGTGGGACCATTGTCGCCGCCTCAGTATCACAACAGTTGGACCACCGTTACTTAGCCACAATTTTCTTGTTGTTGTCATCGTCAGACCAATATTGACATGACCATACCACCTCCATCTAACCATCACCATCATTGCTACGCAGAAACATGATTGAACGGGCACCATTATTGATCCGCCACCACCTTCAAACCACCATCGCTGCACCACAACACCACTGTCTAGCCGCCACCATCGTTGGACCACAATTGCCCTTTTTCCATTGCCATTACCATTAGAACATTGTCGCATGATTGTCGCCACCCTTGGACCATCGTCGCCTGAACTCCATTATTGTTGTCGTCGGATATTTGTTATCTCCGTCAAAGTACTATTGTAGATACCATCGGACCTTTGGCACCTGACCATCAACGTTGTGACTAACAACACTAGCATCAAATTCTCTAACACTTTACTTCTACAATCAATCTTCCTTCATAATAGTAGGGTCGTCATCATTTCTTCGTTGTATTCTACCACTTCTTTAGCAGAAGTCATGTCAAAATCCCACACTTTTGTAACATTTCTCTAGGTTAGTCCCAATGCCCTTAAAATTTGGAACCTACATCAACATGCGAAAATCATTTCAGATGGATCATGCCTCGTGGATTTTATCCATTTTGGTTTTCCACATAAAAACTAGTGTTTTCTTTTTTATCACTTTTTTTCTATGTGTGTGTGTCTAATCTTTATACAACACAAATATAAGAACAAATATATCTTCTCCTACATCGCTTGCCATCACTATCCATGCCACCTTCCCAAATTGTCTGTGTCAAACAGACTTGCCAAAACACAATTCTTACATTTTTCTTCCCAGATTCGCTGTTGTTGCATTTCATTTTCTTTGTTGCTTTTCCACCTCTCTCTCACCCCTCATGTACCCACCAAACCCTTACTGCCGCAATTTCTATCTTTCTCCTCCTTGACTAAACCCTCGCGACACAATCATGATTAGAGCTTGTTGTGAAGAAGTGACAAGATTGCCACCACAATCCATGCAATCAGTCTTGACCACTGTGCAACATATATTGTATCTTGAGAAACCGTGTAGTCAGCTCCCGTTCGTGAGACAAGTATATATCCGTGCAATCATTAATTCGTACTGGATTACTCTAACCGGGCTAAATCCCGTGATTTTTTTTCCTTTTTGGGTTACCCACATAAAACTCTTATCTGCTTTGTATTGTGATGTCTCTAGTGATTGTTTTGTTTTTATCTGAATGTATGCTCGATTCCGCTGCAAATTCTTATACCACACATCAATTATAAGGCAAAACTTGTACACACACAAACACACATATACATACATATATATTATATTAATTTATTATTATTATAGTAATATAATTTAGATTATCTAAAGTTATGATCAAGTTATTCTCTTTTAAAAGTAAAATGGTGATGATACATATAATTAGTTTAATACATTTGTGTGCATAATTAACTTTTAGGAGATTGATATGTGTGATACCTACTAATTGATTGCTATTGAATTACTAAAGCATTTGGAGTGTTATCACCAGCCTCAAGGCAAGTAATTACTTTTTATCATGTGATAAAGTGTACTGGATTTATAGTTACTTCATAGGACAGTCAATCATCCCATTGTTATATCAGGGCCCGTTTGGGGCAGCTTATTGGGAACGACGGCTTTTTGAAAACGTCGCCTCCCTGTTTGATAAATACGTTCGCACGGGCTTATTCCTCCCGCACTGCTTCCACGCTCGATAAATCCTTTATGTCCTTCGACGCAGTGCGAGCCCCACGTCCGGCGTTAGCGATCCTCGTTGGTGCCCTCGATCTCCCTCATTGGAATCCTTTCTGGTTCGTCGCCCCAGAGGAGATCGAACCTTCTTCCTTTCCAATTTTCTTTCCTGATCATCAAGTATCCTTTCGATTTCCCTAGCTGTGATCCTTGGAAAGCTTCCTTTCGATTTCCCTACTCTGATCTTCTTTCTGGGAAGTGTAGATGCAAGAAATGAAATTTTTTTTTTTCAAATGAAATATGAGTACATTACGGGTTTTTAGCTATAGCCCAGCTGAGATCTATGGCATGAGTTGTTTTCGACATCCTCTAGTTTTTGGGTATAGGCCAGTTGAGATATGTTTTATTTTATATGCCCTGATATTTTGACATTTTATCTGGTTTTTGGATTTAGGTTGTCAGCTGCGATTCTTAGAAATCTTTTTTTTCTCTAATCCTTTTTTTTGGGAAGTGTAGATACAAGAAATGATTTTTTTTTGTATGAAATATGAGTCCATTAAGAGTTCTTAGCTATAGCCCAATTGAGATATGTGGCATGGTTTGTTTTCGACATCCTCTAGTTTTTCTGTTTGTTTGATGAGAGGTATTGGCTTTGATTTTAAGCAAATTGGTCAATGTATTATTGTTTAGCTGCAATTTTTGTGATGAAGAATTTGCATGAATTTGCAGGAATTTCTGTTATGCAGGAATTTCAAATAACCCAATGTTAATTTGGTTATACATTGAAGATTATGACTTGGTTCATGAAATGTTTCTCAAATCATTACGAAATTGTTTATTTTTCTATGAAAGCATACTAGCGTGTAATTGGAATGTTTCAAACCTATATCTACCTCGTCATTGAGAGGATTCCATATTCTTATCTTTCATTTTATGTTAAGAATGACAATGATTATAGCATTAAGGAGTTAAGTACATATAAGGAGGCATTATTTTATATGGGCAATGGTCTTTCCATAAATGTTTTCATCTTTGATATATGAGGAGGCTTTGTTTTTATATATAAGGAGGCTTTGTTTTTATATGAGGCAATAGTTATAGCATTGGGAAGTTAGGTACATATACAAAGATCCAAATTAACTGCTTTTGGTTTATGGTTCATATGTATATGCGATGCTTTGTTTTTAATATTAGATGCAAGAATGAAATTTATACGGCTTACAGCTTTTATATGAAGCATTTCTCACAATTTTCAAGCTATCAAAATGGGGGAACGAAAGAGAAAAACTGGCATTCGGTTTTTAGGCAACATGAATATGATTTTATGATACAAATTATGTATATATATTGTTGTCAAAGAATAATTCTCGAATGTAACTTGCAAGTAAAGAAAACACATTGTAAATGTCATTTAACCACCAATAAGCTAATCTGAATAAGCAGCCCCAAACAACAAACTAGATTATTATGATAATCTGCATATTATCAGACTATCAGAATAATCTGCTTATTAGCAGATTATAAATAATCAGCAGCTGCGCCAAACAGATCCTAGTCTTCTTATTTTGCGCTTGTGATTAGTTTCAATTATTGCTCATAATCAAGTAATTAGCTGTATTATTCTATTATTGTAAACTTCATGCATATTTGATTGCTACCACACTTATAATATTTTTTTTATGATATTTGTTCTTTATAAAATTGCATTTAAATTGATGTAACATCACAAATCTATGTGAAATAACATATTTTTTACATGTTATATATATGAAAAATTTTGATTACTTGTGTAATGGTGTGTAGGCTGGCGGAACCCGTTTGTATATTGATTAGTCGAGTCAACGGGCACATAAAATAAAGATTATGCGGTAAATCGTCTGGTTTATTTGGGTTGATATTGATCTTATTTGATTTAGGATATCTATTAAAAATAACCATGTAAATATAATTGAAATTATACTTAAGCATACCTTAAGTTATCCAACGGCAAGATTTTATTGGATTATAAGGAATTGCATATTCATAATTGAACATATTCTTATTTCAATAATCATGTGATTTCACGATGTTATATATGTATAATTCTCTTTTTACTGTTCATATTGCATGTCCAATTTTTCATACTGTTTTATGATTTAATAAATAACTGTTATTTATTGATTTTACATGTATAACTCACTCGTTGATATTTTTACATGACATGTTATATTCAGCTTCTAAAAGGAGAGTTTTTAGTTTTAGAATTACTAGTGTTTTTGAATTTTTTCAGTGTTTGCTATGCATCATATTTTTTCTTTTTGGGTCGTGATATTTGTTTTTTCTCATAGTTTTATTTTTGATTCAGTTAGTTTTATGATTTTCTTTCAGCTGTATATACAGACTACTAATTATCGAATAAAGTGGATACTTCCTCACTTATCTATTATTATTTGAATACAATATTCATTTTAATAATACAATAAAGTTTAATTCATTTAATCATGCCATGCGTTTTTTTAGGATATATCATTTTGTTGATGGTGGTGGCAACTATGACATAAATATATAATTCAATGGCCATTAATTTAGGAGCAAGAACAAAAATATATATTTATGCAACAAAATATCAATATATCAACATGTAAAAAATAAAATAGTTAACTGATAGAAAATTATTTAAGCTAGTAGCTGAGCCCGGACTGAGCCCAAATCAAACATATCCCACCAGAGCAGGACCAACCCCATTTCCCCGCACCATTAAAAGCTCCCCTCTTGGCGCTTACCAATTACCACCGAAGGCTCCAGAGGCATCTTCGTCTGCATCTCTCGCTCTTCTTTTGATTGCTGAGGCCACTCTGATAGTTTATTTGAAACCCTACCACTCTCATTTCTCTTCGTCAGCAGCGGCTCGAAGATGTCGCTTCGCGTCCTCAACCCTAATGCCGAGGTCCTCAACAAGTCGGCAGCGCTTCACATGAACATCAACGCCGCCAAGGGTCTGCAGGACGTCCTAAAAACCAACCTTGGCCCCAAGGGCACCATCAAGATGTGAGTCCACCGTTTTTTCTGCTTTTATGCTTTCACCATCAGTATCGTCCTCATATAGGCTTATCTGTTGCTTTTTTTGTGTCCAGGCTCGTCGGAGGGGCAGGGGACATCAAGCTAACCAAGGATGGGAATACCCTTTTGAAAGAAATGGTAGCTGATATCCAGCGGTGTTTTTGAAATGGTTAGGTTTTGGCGGTTAGCGAGACCTTCCTTTGCGATTAAATATGAATTTTGTGTGATCTGCAGCAAATCCAGAATCCAACGGCGATCATGATAGCGAGGACAGCCGTTGCTCAGGATGACACAAGTGGGGACGGCACTACTTCCACCGTGCTCTTCATTGGCGAGTTGATGAAGCAGTCAGAGCGATATATTGACGAAGGTCTGTGTACCAGCTTCAAATTCATAATTTTACTCTGATTTATCTTTAATTTGAAGTTTGATTTCTATTTGGAGATAATATTAGCTATTAGCGTTTTCAAGGACTGCTAAAACTATTATCATTTTTATCGTTTTTGTATGAAATTCCATCATCTTCACATAGAAGTACTAGGTAACATATATGCTATATAATATTCTCATTCATTCACAAGCAAGGTGATGTCATATAATAATTAGCAGTTTAAATTTGAAAATTTAGCAGAAAGATAATAGAACCAAATGAAATCTACGTGCGCTTATGATACCTACCAAGTCTGCGGTAAGTGAACTTCATTTTGCATGAAAATTTTCATTGCATTCTCCACTTGATGAGTGGTGAACTGAATCAAGTCTATCAGTCAAATTTTTTCCTGCCCTTGCCCTTGTAGTTGCAGGCATCACAGCCTATTCATGCCACTAGCTGGGTATTTAATAGTGACCAAGGGAGATGATGCTTTAGCCGAGGTAAGAGGTGATGAACATTTTGGAAGTACGCAAATGATTTGCAAAAAATAGATGTCTATTAACTTATATGTCATAATGCAAAGGATTTCCTCAACTTAAGTCATGTAGCACTTCGCCAAGTGACAAATCTTGTCTTTTTAAGCAACACGATTAAAATGATAATTGAATTCTAGTCCCTTTAATTACTTAAGATCTCCACTGCCATCAAAATAATTTTGTTATTGCTTATCTCTTTTATGATCATTTCAAATGTTAATTTTATGAGTTTAGAGCCTCGCCAGCATATTTTATCTGCATCGTATTTTTCACTGTAATCCTTGTTTAAACCTGATTCTCCATTCAAACAGTCAGACATGGTGATATTATTTTGGAGTTATATTAATGTAAATTTTTATTGTATGCCTTCTCTAACTGAACTCATTTTATTTTTTATTTGACATATTTGAATATGTTCACCTCTATGTTAGTGAAGTTTGACTTCATGCGTATAAATAGATACACTCATGTGCATATACATACATTAATATATATTTAAAATTACTATTGAATAATATTTGATGTAGGGATGCATCCAAGAGTATTAGTTGATGGCTTTGAGATAGCTAAAAGAGCAACTCTTGAGTTTTTGGAGAAATTCAAGACACCTGTTGTTATGGGCGAGACACCTGATAAAGAGATATTGAAAATGGTTGCAAGGACAACTCTTAGGACTAAGGTTATAACTAGTTATGTGATTTCTTTCCCTCTATCATATATGTTTGTTCCCTTTTCTAATGATCAATCATACCTTTCTTTATATTTTTGTAGCTATATGAAGCATTGGCAGATCAATTAACTGACATTATTGTTAATGCGGTAAGCTTTTTGTTTGTTACTTGGATATTGTCAACTTATATGCATTGTTGTTTTTTATTTACGTTTGATTGGACTACACAATTTGATAACTTTTGATATTTATTTCTATTTTTATTTGACTAGAAGCAAGCATTCTATTCTCGGAATTTAATCTGCAACGTGTTAATGTTAGTTGACTAAAAAGAATATTTTGTATTAAATGTTCTCATGTTTTTCATTAGGCTTGGATAGACTAACATTTGATTTAAAACCATCTAAATATGTCGATGTAAATCTTGTAGTCTATATCAATCAGAAGCACAAGATGTATAAGTTAAGACAAATGAATTGCAAGAAAATTCATTGCAAGAAAATTCTTCTTTTGTTTCTTCTTTTGTTTTTTTTTTTTTCGGTGTATTTATTTATTTATTGTAGGATTTTGATGTTCTCAATTGTGTGTGGTGTATTTGTTTGATTTTCCTATTGAAATTGCTGTCCTTATGGTTGTCTAGAGTATTGTGATTATTAAAGTTTGGACGCTCCCTGCTTTTAGTGTTCTTTTTGGCGGTTCTTGAGGTAGGAAAGTATTATTTGTGGTTGTTTTAAGCATCATAGTTGGATGTGGATTGATATAATGCTTCTGGTTGTGACTGTTTTTACTGTCAGCTGATTTATTATCTGTCACTTGAAATATGCTATGAATTTCTGCTCGTGGTAGATTTTGATTTGAGTTTTATTAGTTGATTTATGAGTCATCTGGGCTATCTGATCCAATGAATGGCTCAAAACGTAGAGCTTATTATGGGATTTTTGGGATGATGAACCGTTGACTGTTATTTTGTGATTTTTTAAACGATTAATTTGAGGGATTTTGTGATTATATAAACGGGGATTGAAACATGTACAAATATTTCACTTTAACTTTGAGTAAATTTCTTGGTTGAGCGCAGTTCCTTTTAGTTCTCTTCAAGTGCTAGCGGAGATTGAAGATTTTTTGGAGCATGTAATTTCCTTACACCAGCGCTAGGCATGGTCTTACTATTTGGGAATCAATTTACTTTTTTTATTTTCTCTAATCTAATTTATAGCTATCAGTGTGCATGCATAATTTAATTTTTTACAAATTGGATACAATATAGTTCGGGATTGTCCCATGGATTCTCAATCTAACATACGGTGATCATGATTTTGAATTTTTATGAATGCTGATCAATTACCTTTTATTGTGTTTGTTTATATTTTCTTTTCATCTAAAGAAATGAAAAACTCTATAATTAAGTGTTTGCGAAGTAAGAATTCGGTTATCTTGTTGTGAATCTCATTGCAGATCCACATTAAGAAACCATGGGCCTAACGAAATCTTGTATCCTAGGTCACTCATGATTTTGAGAATTAGAACTAAGTCACTTAACCTAATTCTGTTAAGCTTAAAATGCTTGCACTAATGATATGTACCTTACTATGGTAAAAATTTACTGCAACAACTAACATTCATTTTCACGCTGGGCTGGAAATTATCAGTTTCAAGTGGAATAAAGTTTGTTTTATGTATCTTCTCACTAAGTCGCCCCTTGGCATATTATTTTTGGAATTTATAGCTATGTTTAAGGGTATTTGAAAGGGTAGCTTTTAAAGTATTGGCTTCTCTAATCGTTTTATTTGCCTGGGGCATGATTGAGAATGGAAAGGATATAGGCTTAAATGGTGAGAACCCATCCTACTCACAATGATTGGTGCAATTTATTTTCATGTACTTTTTTGTGTGAATTGGTTTATTTAAGGCCAACAATTTTCTTTTAATGGATAAATTTAACGATGCAATTAACTTATTCTTGATCTCTCTATTTTTTTTTTTTTGAAAAAATAGCCCTAAGATTCTCAAGTCTTAAGAAAACGCGGAACATGGTTTTTTGCTATGTATAGCTAATCTATATGAAGGCTCATGCCACACTTTATTTAGAAGTTACTTATCTTTACATTTTTGTAGTTTTCATCTGTCTGTCTGTTATGCTTATGTCCCTTCTTCTAAAAGAGGTTTGGTGTGGGTAATGAATGAAAGCTAAGGTGGAAGTCATTCTTTTCATAGCGGGAAAGGACCTATGTGAAATTTAATAGACAGTTATTTCTTGTCTAATCCATGTGCTTACCTGCCTTTATTTGGAAAGCCATTTAGTGAGTTTTGTTGAAAGTGAAGGGTTTTGTTTTCTTCTTCGTAGAAATATAAGGAGAGACTTTGACATGGGGAAAATTGAGGGTTTCAAGCATAATTCTTCATATTCTTTTTTCTAATGGAACTTTTCTCAATTTAAACACTGCTTTTGCTGGGTCCCAAGTCCCGGATGTTAAAAGTGGAGGGTTATGTTAGATAGCCGACAACCAACGTAAAATTTTTCGAAAAACCATGTAATGAATCCTTTCGATCATTGTGCAAACGCTAGGGCGTCCTTTGGAAGCAACGCGCTGTATGATTTTAATACAGTAAAAAATTTGTAAGGACCGCTACATCGGCGCCCGAGTGTAATGTCAAATAAGAAATAGTTTCTACATTATGGACGGTGCAGGTTAAGAAGTTAGTTCATGAAATTAATATTAAGATATGATCTTGAAATATATGCACTCTTATAGGTAAATTAATGAAAATAGTTGATGTTATGGTTCATAAGAAGATGAATATCTTATGTATTCAGGAAACTAATGGGTTTGGAGAGAAGACCAAGGAAATTGATAGATTATGTTTTAAACTTTGATCTCTAGGTAGGAGTCGCTCTAGAAATGGTGTAGATGTAATTATAGATAAGAATTTGAAGGATAATTATATAAAAAAATAATAGAATTGAAGATAGAATTATAAACCTTAAGATTGCTGTTGATATTAAGATTTTTAATGTTATAAGTGCTTATGCTCCTCAAGTAAGATTGTATATAGTTTCTAAAGAAAAATTCTGGAATAACTTAGAAGAATTAATACAAATGATATCACTTGAAGAAAGAGTTTTGATTGGAGGGGATATAAATGAACATGTTGATAAAGCGGTAGAAGAGTTTAGAAATATTCATGGTGGTTAAGGTTTTGGAGTGATTAATAAATAAGGTAGAGTCATATTAGATTTTGCTTTATCATATTATTTTGTTATTGCTAATGCTTTATTTATGAAAATGAATGAACACATTATTACTTATAAGAATGAATCTAATAAAACGCAAATTAATTATTTTCTTATGAGAAGAAGTGATTGTTGAGAATGTAAAGATTGTAAGGTCATTCCAAGTGAGAATCTAAGTAGTCAACATCGATTATTAGTTCTAGATTTTAAGACGTGTTGTAAAATTAAAAATAAAAGGAATCATTATCATATAATTAAATGGTTGCACCCAAAATATACTAATAAAATTAGCTTTATGAGTAAACTTTAAGTTTTCAAGATTTGAGGTGTTCATGAAGAAGCAAATTCTATGTGGGATAAAGTAACAAATGCTATTAAACAAGTGACAAAAATTCACTTGGAGAATCACAAGGAATTTTTTTTTTTAAATAGAAATGCTTGGTTATTGGAATAATAATGTGTAAGAGAAGATAAAATATAAGAAGCTGTGCTATAAAAAAACTTTAAATGTAAAAACTTAGAGAACTGAGAAAAAAATGTAAGATAACTTGTAGAGAGTCTAAGAGAACAATTTGTGATGCTAAAAATTTAGCTTTTAATGATCTTCATAATAGATTAAATAATAAAGAGAATGAAAAAATATATGTATAAACCCGCTAAACAAAGATAAAAAAAAGTAAACATTTAACTCAAATAAAGTGTATTAAAGATGAAAATTAAAAAGTGCTTTTCTTATCAGAAGATATTCAACATAGGTGAGTGAACTATTTTGATAAAAAATTGAATGAAGTTTTTGAAAATATGATCGAATTTAGGGATCTTAATATCGTTAATAATAATAAAAAGATCTATTTTTACCGTCACATTAGTAAAAAATAAGCGGAAGAGGCTTGAAAGAAAACCAAGGGTGGAAAATCAGTAGGACCTGATGATATCCTGATCGAGATGTGAAAATATTTAGAAGATTTTTGAGTTTCTTGGCTTATTAAACTCTTTAATATTGTTTTTAAAACTAAAAAGATTCCTAAAGAATGGAGGAAGAGTATTTTGGTCATCATTTTTAAGAATAAAGGGGATGCACAAGAGTGTGCAAATTATAAAGGAATTAAGTTGACGCGTCATACTTTAAAATGATGGGAGAGGGTAATTGAAGATGAGTTAAGATGCATTATGAAGATCTCTTATAATCAGTTTGGATTTATGCCTGACAAGTCTATTATAGAAACTATACATTTATTGATAGGTCTAATGGAAAAGTACAAAGAGAGTAAGGAGGATCTACATATGATGCTTGTTGATTTAGAAAAAAACTTATGATAAGGTTCCAAGAGAAGTCCTTGGAGAGTTTGTCCTTTGGAGAGTTTTAGAGAAGAAATGTGTTGATATGAATTATATTCAAGTCATTAAAGATATGTTTATTAGTGTTGTTACTTGTGTTTGAACGGAAGGAGTATTGACCAAGTATTTTCCTATTTTAGTTGGATTACATATGGGATCGGCTTTAAGCCATATCTTTTTTACTTTAGTTATGAATGCTCTCACTGGACATCTACAGGAGGATGTACCTTGGTGTTTGCTTTTCGCCGATGATACTCTTCTCGTAGATAAAATTAGAGAGAAATTTCAAGAAAAACTTAAATTATAAAGGTTTGCATCAGAGTATAAAGCCCGTCATTTGAGTAGATTTAAAATTGTGAGTAGATTGTAGATTTAAAATTGAATACATAGAATGTAATTTTAGTAGTAGTAGCTCTAGTGGCGGAGGTGTAATTATGAGTGATAAAATCATTAAAAGGTGTGAACACTTTAGATATCCTGAGTTTATTGTTCAAAGTGATGGTGATATAAATTGAGATGTTGTTAGTAGAATTCTGTCGGTTGAAGTGGAGGAATGCATCAAAATATTATGTGAGGGAAAGTACCACTTAGAATTAAAGAAAAAAAATATAAGATGGTTGTGGGACCTGCAATGCTCTATGACGCAGAATGTTGCCCTTTAAAAGAAAAGCATAAAACAAAGTTGTGTTGCTGAGATGAGAATGTTTAGGTGGATGAGTGGCTTGACACTTAGAGATAAAATGAGAAATGAATCTATTTGTGATAGGGTTGGTGTAGTTCTAGTGATAGACAAGATTAGAGAGCGTCTTTGATGGTTTGGTCGCATTAAACGCTGACCATCTGATGATCCATTAGGAGAGACGTTTCAAATTCAACTTATGTTAAGAAATGTAGGGGTTGACCCTAAAAAGACTTGGGCATATTGTATAAAAATGATCTTAATTTATTAAAATTAAATGAAAATATGACACTCTAATAAATGAAAATATGACACTCAATAGGACGTAATGGAGAAAAAGGATTCATGTAGCCGACCCCACTTAGTGGGCTAAAGGCTTGCTGTTGTTGTTGTGAACTTTTCTCAATTTAGAATTTTTGAGTCAGACGCTGCATACTTCTCAGGCTTTCTAGTACAAAACTGGTTTTGATGAGGTGTGATGAATTCAGAATATGGTTTGGAAAATTGCTTTGACAAGTCATGAAATGCTTTATGCATTAGTTCCTTGCTTTGTAGTGATCTGTCATTCGCCCAAGATAAGTTAGCTTGAACAATAAGGGGCATTTACATACATACCACACAATGTATATGTATTTACATGTCTAACACTTAAACTTTCATATTTACATACATAACACTCAATTTTTTTTTATGTCAATTAGTAACATAATAATTATTTTTTAAAAGTGAAATACACATTTTCATGCATATGTTTATGACATCAAAGTGTTTTGAATGTAGATATGTAAATACAAAAGAATTGTGTGGTATGTATGTTAATTTCCCAAAGATTAATTGTAGTAACAGTTTGTAAGGAAGTAGCTCATTTATTTCATGTTTGTTTGTGAATCCACCCTTGATAATGTAGGCCTGCATGAACATTGCCTTACGTATATGTGATATTTTCTTATATTTTATGATATTGCATGACTATTTATTGAGCAATTTTATCATCGGATAGGATTTGCATTAACAGCTTTAGCTACAATTAGTATTTCTCACCATATGATTGAAAGTTTTTTTTTTTTTTAAAGTACTTTGTGATAATCAGCTTTAGCTAAATATTGTTTCATCCTATAGTCATTTAAATATGTAATGTTGCTAGGTACTCTGTATCCGTAAACCTGATGAACCAATTGATCTGTTTATGGTGGAAATAATGCACATGCGCCACAAATTTGATGTTGATACTCGTTTGGTATGTTTCTGTAGTGCTTTTCTTTTGTGTTGCTAAATTTAGCTTGCCTTTCAATCTTTTATCTTAGTGCTGTTCTTTTAATTTCTGAAAATGTTATAATTATATTGTATGAGCAATTGAAACAAATGTATAGTTTAAAGTATCTGTATGCTTAACTGATCTCTTAAAATAATTTTCAAATAAATACAACACATACTCAAAAAAATATTATTCACCTGGCAATAAATGAACAAGATTTATGCACGTTTTGCACATAGTTATTAGCAGTTGTCAGTGCTAGAAGAATTTTTTATACCTTTTTATGCGCAAGTGTTCTAAATAGTGAACATATAACCAATTAATAGATAATTTAAAGTTTAAAATAGAGAAAATGTTCCAAGCATATTGCCAGCACCGTGAAACTGGTTTAGCACCCGAGTGCTTCAGAATAGGTAGCATGTGGGCAGGAGAGAGAGCCACCAAATTTGAAGCAGCAACTATAATGCCAGCACCGTGTGGGCGGTCATGGACTTTAGCATTCCTAGCCCTCCATTGATACACAACCAAACATAAAAGGTGAGTGAGGCCATGGTTTTTATTGTTCCTAGCCCTCACATATTGCTAATTTCCAGGGACATTAAAGTCCCACAATTGAAGCTTGCTAAAACCTCTTCAGTCATTCAGCACTTGCCCAAGATATGTGAGAGTCTTCATCATCATTGTAGCTCCAAGGGCACAATTTATTACCAGTTAATCCCTTATTAAACAACCGGCATTTAGGACGAGTCTCCACCAAAAAATGCGTTCCCTTGGATAAATCTTGACACCCTTTAGCCACTTATATGTATCCTTCTTATCAAAGGGAGCATCGAAGGCAAGAGCCGTGATCATCGGCCCGGTATGGGAATAGAGAAGCTCGGGTTGGTCACTGCCCAGTATGTGCTGATGGGGATTTGGGTAATGCGTTTAAAAAGCTCCTCACCAAAACAACACTTCAAACGACCATTATCCCATTTACAATGCACAATTAGTCTAGCAACATTGACCCTCTCAACTTCTTGAATATTGATAAAAAAGAGGGCCACCTGGAAAGAGGCATAAATAATAGTCAAAGGTTTCTTGCCCAAGGGTTGCAAATATTGTAAGAGGAACACAATTGATTCATAAAAATGAGAGTGGTGCAAAACTGATACAAAGAGTAGACAATGAGATTCATGTTAAAGAAAGTACATGCAGGATCTTTATGTAAAAATATTGATGGTTATCAATGGAGTGTGTCGTCATAGAGTATTGATAGTGATTGTTGATGTAGTAGGTTTATTTTTTATTTTTTTATTTGGTTATAATAGAGATGATTAAAGAATGGTGTCATCAAAGAAGATTGCTTTCAAGATGCAGATAAGGATCTTTTAGTGTAAGCATATGTATGGTTTTAGTTGGAAAGTACAATAAAGAACGATTTCTCATCAATGAGAAAATATTGTATTCATAAATATTGCATATATCTATTTTAAATAAATTAGCGCAAATGATAATTTAGGTATGGTAAAATCATATCACAAATCTAATTTAGTTTTAAATTTAACTCCACTCTCACCCTTTTATCATAATTATGTTACGCTTGGCAGTTCATTTTTGGATGATGTTTTTGTTAGGTCTTAACTATTTTTCACTTTAATCTTGTCAAGCTTGTTGTGTTCCACTTTTGAATGATCTCCTAATGAATAGTCATAGTTCTCATAGTTAGATTAGTTTGTGGAGTTTTTTCATTGGTAATACCCTACCAGTATCTTACACCTAACTAAAATATAATTTATGGATCTTGGTATAGATTTTTGGATTTAGCCGAGCTTATAACAATCCTCAGTTTTTCCATCTACATATTTGGCTGTCATTTATTTCTTTTTCAGTCAAATTTGAATAAATTAAAAAAGAAAATGCTTTCTTTTAGCTATCTCTGTGTAAAATAGAATAAAGAACCCCCCATAAAATCCTTTATTTTTTCTTCCATAAAATTCCAAGTTAAAAGCATAATAATCTGTAGAATATAAGCATCAAGGTGACAACGAAAACATGAATTCAAAATTCTTGATATGACAAAACATTTAATTGACTGTGGATTCGGAAGACAAGTGAAGGTTAAGTAGAAATCTGAATACAATATTTATTCCATCTTCTCTTCAGCATAATTTGATCCTAGAGACCTTGGTAGCTCACTCCTTAGGATTTTTCTATCATTTCTCTTCTGTTTTTGGGCATTGGCAAAATTATGTTGCTGTAAAAGTGGACCACAAGTCGCAAAAGATTATTTGCCTTGAAATATCTACTGACTTTAGGACTTTTGGGATGACTTGAAGGACAGGCATCAGTTCTGAGGAAACTTAGTGGCATTTTAGGCTCATGAGCTCTAAGGAATTACCATACAAGCACGGCCAGTAGGGAACCATCGAATCTATGATGACCTTTGACTCCGAAAGAGTAACCCTAGTATAATTAGTAGAGGATATCATCACATGCAGTCAGGAGTCACTTGCAAAGCACAATCCATCTCCGCAAACATGAAAGAGAGGGCTCCATTTTCATGAGGGTCTGCAAGGCAGTCAAAAATGGGTTTGAATTTTAGCAATATGAATCAGTGTGTCTAACTTGTAGACACCCATTCTCAATCGGATGGCTCCAATATTTTATAAACCAAATTTTGGTTTGATTTCATTCTATAAGAACCTTGATTAAAAAAAACTGATTTATGATTGAAATGAGCTCAAACTATTTTGATCCACTCTGGTTTGTTTTTTATGTTCTTTTTTGTGTGCCTCTTATAACATGAATATGAAACTTGAATGGAAGAAGAATGCGTGGCATTGTCATACCAAAGGCACTTTTCTTGGGGCATTATTTACTTTTAAGTATAACACATTATATGTTTTTCTCTCTCTTAAATTTACTTCTCTGCATTTCATAACTGAGACATCTTTTTTGTGAGCTTCAAAATTGGTGACCCTTGTAGAACATATTTTGGTTTCTCCTTAGCTAATAGCAACTGCTATGCTATACTATATCATTCTGTTTGAATAAGTAATGCGTTCTCTTTTTGATAATTTCTTGACATGAAGCTTTTTCGGTTGTTCCTAATCAAATCTTGTATGATTATCACATCATTGGATGACATGGAATAGCTGAATTTATTCTGTAGTTCAGTTATCTTCTCTTTGGTTAAGTTCTATAACCTACTTGGTTATTGGCCTTTTTAGGTAGAGGGTCTTGTCCTTGATCACGGATCTAGACATCCTGATATGAAGCGGAGGGCAGAAAATTGTTATATTTTGACATGCAATGTGTCATTGGAGTACGAGAAAAGGTAAATAACTCAATTTGTTAATTTGTTTGCATTATATCTGTAGATTTTATATTAATTGCAAACATTGGAAGCTTGTTTTGTTACTCGTACTTTTTTAGAGTATCACCTCCTAGGTTTATTACTTATTGTATAAAACTAGGTCCTTGTCATTAGTGTTTGCTTTTTTTAAGTTCTATATTGGCCATATTAAAGGTTTTCTGATGAAATATATTTAGTTTTTGCCATTTGTATTTTCTTCTATATAAATCAGGGAAGATAATTTTCGCAGTATTTTTATCCTAAATCCTGATCAGGAGGTGGCGATGGAATTGCTTAGATTTACATAATCAGTTTGAAAGTGTTCGTTTTTTCATTATGTTAGATCTCAAAGTACTTGTTACATGATGAATCGCCAGCAGACACATGTTTTGGTCAGTATATATAAAATGAGTACATGCCATTGTGACTTGCCTATTTGATTGTTATATGCTTTATTTCATGTCAAATTTGACCGTTATTTTTAAAACATGAACTGGCTCATTTATCTGTAGACTGACAAAGGAATAACACCACACACATACAACACTGCCAGTGCAGCAGTTCTTTATTTAAATGAGAGAAAAAAAAAATCAAATCGAAGAGCGATATTAACTGTGATCTTTCTTGGATATATTCTTTTCTTCTTTATTGGCTTTTTTCTATGATTAATCACTCACGATCCCCTCAACTCCCTTTCTCTCTCGGGATACGTCAACCAATTTTAATTATCTTATGCCTCTCCCTTTTATGTTTCTTTTGCTACAATCCATTACTTAACACACCAAAATCATGTCAGATAAGTGATTGTTTTTCTATTGATTTATCTTCTGATGCATTTCCTTCTTGCAATGTGTAAATTGATACAACATCGACCATGCCTATTGGTTACATTTAAAAAAAAGTTTCCTTTTTTAATTTATTTTAATCTTGTTTACTCAATGAAAAAAGTGCTAATTTTTAAAATGGACTCTTTTAACTTCTTTTCTTGAGTTATTTATAATTTCTATCCTGGATTCCTATGCACTATTGCTCTTGCATTCATCTGCTTAGCTTAGGGGCCAGGGCACCAGATTATAGAGATATTCTTCATCTTTCTTGTGGTATTAAGGTCATTGATCAAAAGAGCGAGCAACCAAGTTTCATAAATTTTGGTATTCTTGGATGTAGTGGTTGGCGAACAACTTTTTTCCAAGAAGATCGGTAAAATTGAGCTTGTGTGGAGCTAAAAAAATTGGCAACTTGTTGACCTCATTTTTGTGAGGTCTTCTCTTCTCTCCTTAGGAGCCTAGGATCTAGCTCTAGGAGTTCCTATTGACCGTCCTAGAAAACTAGAATTGAGACTCACCCTTTTAGAAATTCTAACCACTTCCTATTTTTCTTTGATGTCGTGCATTTATGGCACAAGACCATCGTCTTATAGACGAGTGGTTATGAGTTATTTTGCGAAGACTCGGGGAAAAAGCTCCCAATAGGACTCCAAGCCTTAGGAAAACATTCGTCATGACTTTTTCGTCACATACACACATCAAATACACAAAATTCACGAAATTGCACGAAATCGGACTTCAATTAAGCCTAAAGGACGGGTGAAAATGCGAACTTCTCCGGATGACCTCCGACGACAAAATGGACTGCGCCAACGCGTCTGAGATACTAATTTTGGTAGGAAAACACACCCATATTGCCATATTTTTGACACGAGAAAATTGACACGCAAATCGATGAATTCATCAAAACGACATCTGACGACAAAACGGACTGCACCAGCGCGTCCGGAATGTCGATTTTGCCTAGGAAGGACACACATTTTGTTACGACACCGCGCGTGAATGAATCGCATGTGATTTAATATATATATATATATATATATATATATATAAATTTAT